GGCCTTTTATTGTGGCCAGCCTATGGCAAGGTTTATACTTTCCGCGTCCATGAGTATGCGAGGGTCCGCGTGACGAAAAAATCGTCATCAGAGGGGGTACGCATAGGGTCTATGCAGACGTCCGCGTGCCTCCCATTTTTTTTGTCCGTGCGTACCTGGACAGGCGACTAGCGCTACCAGGGCACCAACCAATCTACTGCGCATGTGTGGAACGTGTCCGCCAAGCAGACTGCATTAAGTAGTATAAACAGAAGTAGTCCGCGTCCGTGGAGTCTGCAACTGTCGGTGTCCGCATACGCTCCCGAGTATATTCGAGGCTTAAGGCACACCTGTGCAATACTCATGCTATCTGATCAGCATATTGATATTCCACACCTGTGAGGTGGATGGATTATCTCAGCAAAGGAGAAGTGTTCACTAACACAGATTTTGACAGATTTGTGAACACTATTTGAGTGAAATAGGCCTTTTGTGCACATAGAGAAAGTCTTAGTTCTTTGAGTTGATGATGAATGGGGGCAAAAACAAGTGTTGCGTTTACAATTTTGCTCAGTGTAGTTTTTGTTTGTTGTTGCCTTTACAACAACCTTAGCATTAATGTATCAAACAATGTTGCGATAAACAGCTATAATCACCAATATCTGTCATGGCCTGAAATTCAATGGCCATCTTTTAAAATATTCCGAAGTTATTAGCAGTACAAGTCACACACCAAAAAAGTCAGATTCTGGTTTAAACTTAATTTTGACCAAATGTGTAGTTACTCCATTTTGGGTCTGTATAGCAGTGTGACTTTATGGGTACAGTAAAAGGCCTGTAGAAAAGGCTGGGTGCGCTGATGAAATACCAAATTAATCACATTAGAAATAACATCTTGTAGGATGGAAAAATTCCCTTAGCCACGTGGCAGTCAGTTGTTTAGAAAGGACAGTATCAAAGTAGAATAAACCCTGCCTATTGTATGCATAGATGATTGATGTGGACTGTTATGTGGTAATGTTAATGTTATGAATACAGTTTATGTTAAGTTAGCACATTATTGTGTGTTTTTGGTGGTTAGTTAGCCTATGCTAATTTTAGCTGAGGCTAGAGAGGCTTGTTAAATGTTAACTAACTAAGCTGTATAGAAGTTGCAAGCTCTCACTGCACACAAAATATTGTTGATGGGAGCTTCTTCAGTATGTGGGCATTTCACCCACTGTTAACTATAAATAAAGTTAGTCAGTGCTATTCAGTTATTACTGTTGGAGCTTGTATTTGGGCTTGTAATTCTTGTGTACTGTATTAATGAGGAGTTCTATCCTTAGACCACACACATACCCACTCCTCACCTACATTGTGGCTGACAGATTTAAGGACTGTGAGCATTTTGTGCTTATGTACCTGACAACTTATGCCTCAGTACAATTAAAAGTCCAGTCTCTGTGTCGTGACCCGACAACCTATATAGCGAAACATTCCAGAACCAGCTGTATCCTTTTGTACAAGCCTCCATTTTGCCATTTGTAACTATATTCTTATTATGCACTGCCCTCTGTGGACAACTGTTTGCATCTGGATTATGCATACTCACCTACTAGCTCTACTGACAAAGTGCATGGACCAGCAAAAGGACTTTTGTGCACTCTGGTTTCTCAGTTTAAAGGCAAAACCACAGAAAAGCACAACATATTTATGCAGTTTAGTTTGGAATCTGCAATAGTATGTAAAAATGGTCATTGGCAGCACAGATTAACAACACTGTAAGAAGAGATGGGATGTATTATAATGTCAGTCAGGAGACTCAGCAGCAGCTGATGGAAACTTGGGTGAGTTGACTTCCCCCCAGTAGCATTCAGAGAAATACAGTGAGCCCGCAGTGGGTTGTTTTAGCTCACTACAAAACTGCATACCTCTATATAAGACAGTGTGCCACCACATTCTGAGCTGCAATTCACCCTTTGCCAGTGTCATTTTCAGTCAGCCACAAAATGACTCATTGTCTCAGTAAGATATACAACTACATCTGTAGAGGCTTTAATTAACTTTTTATTTAAAAAAAGGCTCAAATTAAATTGAACTTTGGTTTCAGCATTGTAAGATTAAGTCCATGCATCATCAACACCATTGTGGGAACAAGCTGGATGTGCATCTTAATAGGATATGCCACCAACCTGCCAATGACAACCCAAGCCACCTGTTTCAATGTCTCCATTTCATTCTTTTAAAAAAAGAGCACAAACAAGCACACAAAAAAACCTGATACAGATAAACAAAACTGAAGCATAGTGAAGTAACTTTGATATCATCGAATAATAATAAATAACAATATTAAAGCTCACTTTTTATAACGCAGGGAATTTCTGAATTACACACACTCATGCTACACATTTCCCCCACGCATAGGCTGACAAACACACACATAGTTCCACCAAACCTAATGTTTCCAATCTGCCATCCAGAGTCCACTGTAAGCCCTGTTGAGTATCTCTCTCAGTTGCAAGAGCAGCAGGTCCTGCAGGCAGTCCCAGGTCACCCAGAATCTTTCCACTAGACTATATTGGCAGTAACCCATAACCAACCCAAAGCCCACATCTGTCACATAGTGTCTGGCAAGCAGCAGCCGGGACAGGCTCACCAGAGCGGCCCAGCCCACCACGAGGACCCGCATGGAGGCTGTGTCCACCAGCTGAGCTAGGAGGAACCGGGCACACATGGCCGCACGCGTGGCGTGGCCCGAGGGGAAAGAGTAGCGCTCCACAAAGAAGGCGGAGAGGATGTCAGAACGGTTCTGGGCAGGCCTGCGACGTCTGACCACAGTTTTTACAGCTCTGACCAACAGCAGGTCCAACAACAGAGCTGTGATGAGGAAAGACAGAGATACAACATTGGTTTCAGTCTGCATTACAGGCCAACGACCTATTCACAAAGTAACTCAGCTACTTTCCCTTGTTAAACATTTCCCCTCACAATTCCCCCTTTTATAGTAATCTGTTCTAGCCCATCACTCTGCAACTTCTCTACCTTTGTCCTTATCAGAGCAGTCACCTATACCTCTGATTTACTTATTTAGAACTCTATGTATCACTTTATAATAGTAATAGTGAACATATAAGTGGTTTAAAAGTGGTAACAACTGGCTTTAATAATGGTTAATAAATCACTTAGTATCCTACTGCTTTATAGTTCAGACATAAATCATTAATAAGAACACTTTTGTTTGTTGAAAATCCCCATGGCTGGTGCCTATACTACTTGCTGTTTGGTATTAATCCAACTATCCCCAGTATTTCCAAAACACAGTGGCAAACAATAGGATATTATGTGCCCAAAATAGCTCTGGTATTTTCACCACAGCACAAAACAATATAACCGTGTAGGACTTGATCTCTAGCTGTCAGTCAACAGATACAGAGTCTGCACATGTAAATAAAGCATCAGCCATATCACGTGCATGTCTGTCCGTGGCCGTGGATGCCCTCTGCTGCGGCCCAAAAGGTTTCTCTGACGGTCAATTTGCAGCGCCACTAATGCATTATTTGACACTTGGGTGGGTTGATGCGGATTTTGGTCTGTTAAGTTGTGCTATTTCACAATCCAATAACATTGATAACTTAGCCACTGATAACCTTCACTTTGTCCTCACAAGGCTCTACTTTGACACAAATGTGCGTAATAACGCAAAGGCTTTCCCGTAGCTAATGTGGCTATAAACACAAAGGTGCGTGAACATGGGGCACATAAATGACAGCAGATTAGTAATTGTGTATTTTGATTTCGTAATAATAAAGACGTGTTTCTCTGAAGACTAAAATGTTCCAAACTGGCATGCCAAATGTAAGGCGAAGTAAAGAGAGTAAAAACAACAACAAAACTAGGAACATTGTTGCAGTCTAAATGTTCATATTAAATACATAAAAAGGTTATCTGATAATCATGGGTGACAGTCTTAAGAAGCGGATACTTGACTGAATAGGCCTACCTACAGCATAAAATTTATTCATAATTTGATTCCAGGAATCTAAACAAATGTTGATCTATAACCCGACTGGACTCATTCCTAATAACCCGAATTAAAAACAACGAACACACATTCGCTCACCCAGGGTCAAATTCAGCATGATCTCCTGTTCCGCCACACTCTCTCCCCGGAGCAGAGTGTACACAGTGCCGATGAGCCACGGGATGACATGCCCAGATAACTCCACCAGCCGTACCAGGGGCCGTATACCACCCCACGAAGACCCCTCACATGCGCACACCCCGAGCCGCTTGGACAGCCACAAATCTATCGCCAGCAAAAACCGGAGCGTTATCGTGACTATCGGCTGGCTCAGGCTGACGGAAAAGTCTTCAGTTTGCGCCCCAGAGGAAAAGTAAGAACAGCTGGATCCCCGGCGGCGGACGACATGGCACTCTGATGATGCCCGGTTTCCACACACAACTCCACGGCAACTATTCCGTCTGGACGTTGATGAGGACATTGTCATTTGACTAAAGTGTCCACAGCAGTCTCTTCGCCCTTCTTTATCGACCACCAGTGGCGCGTAAACAATTAATGCTGCTGCGCCTTTACTCAAAACATCCTGCAAACCGGGGAGTCCTAATACATGGGGTTAAAATGTCACCTATTCAGAACGGGGCTCTGGTCACGTGGCAACATCATCCCTCCCATTAACATGTAATTAAACTGGCATTTAGTTTTCAATGTATGATCCCCGCTCGATCCCCACCCCGCCATCCCCGTTCTCTTGCAGGTGCTGTCCTTTCTCTGGGGTGTCTGTTTGTATGATGTTTGTGCCCCCCGACCCGTTTCTGCCCCCTTTCCGGCCCGCTGATTAAATAAATAATAAAGAAGACAAAGGATAAATATTAAAACTCACTTGTTAAAGCTAAATCTGTCTGGCACAACATGGTATGCAGCTCCTCATATTGTATTCCAGGCTGCTGGGCAGGACAGGTTTAAAAAAAACAACCAACAACTGGCCTTTAGTTTTAAATGTAGATAATGCAGAGTAACTAACTTCCCAGACATAATGCACTCTTTATTTGCTTAGGCTTCATATTTTATTGGAGATGTGTTTCAGTGCTGCACTTTAATAAAATGTGTCAATCCCTGCGACGACTGCGCCAATCAATCAATCAAAACGCACCACAGTGTGGATGTCTGGATGCGGTCATGTATGCTGCCCTGTGCAGTTGACAGTGGGTGCTTATGTAAATCGCGTGGCCTTCAGGGGGACGTTTCCGCCTTATCTTGATCATCTTTCATCACAGCTGCAGCTGAACAGACGGAACACCTCGCGCACTGAAAATGCCCGGACTGCTGCTCGGAGATGTGTTTCCTGATTTCGAGGCAGAGACCACCACTGGCAAAATTAAACTCCACGAATTTCTCGGTGATTCGTAAGTAGGCTTATTAAATGTGTTTATTGTTGTTGGTTATTGATTCGTAGGCTTAACGAGAATTCAGTTCACTAGAGAGAGAGAGAGAGAGAGAGAGAGAGAGAGAGCGCGAGAGCGAGAGAGAGAGATTGCATGGAGTTCCTGTTACTGATGTTTAACTTCTGCTTTAGACCTTTGGCTATATGCTGTAGGCCTATAGGCTAGAACACCAAAACCTATAAACATATAAAGGTGGAATCTTGGCCTACAAGTGCATATGTCATTTAAAAATAATTTATAATGTGGTGGACAAAAGGACAAACTAATTTGCTCTGGCATGCAGTTATCAACTGCAACAACTGTTTATGACAAGATCAAAGCCTTCATGATCACATGGTGAGATGATCCAAATCAAAAGAATCAGTAAGACCAGACAGAGGTCAAACCTAAAATCCCCCCACCATTTTCCCTCTTGTCATCATTTTAAAAACATTTCAGTTAAAAAGAGGTGACATCCTGTCAGTCTGGTATCAGGTGCATCATTCAGCTTCATCCTATTGTGCAACAATAGTAACCACAAGAAAAAGAGATGTGATGAGAGGAAACCAAGTCAGACTGAAATATGTTTGTGCTTACCGAAGCACTGATCTTGGCATACACCGGACACAGCCTCACTAACCTCTCTTTTCATTCCAGATGGGGAATCCTGTTCTCCCATCCGAGAGACTACACCCCTGTGTGCACCACAGAGCTAGGTCGAGCTGCCAGACTGAGCAGTGAGTTCAGTAAACGCAATGTCAAAATGATCGCGCTGTCCATCGACTTCCTGGAGGATCACCATGGCTGGAGCAAGGTGTGATAGCTACATCCACCTGTTTTCTGACACCACATCCAGAGTAACACACAGTGCTGATCAGTAAAACTGAGGAAGCATGAGGCTGTCCACATTTGGAGGATTCTGTTGTTTTAAACTTAGGCTTTAATCCAAAGCAGGGACGGTGGGAATTGAACCCGGGTCTCTCACACCAAAGGCATGTGTCTTATCCACTTTTCCATTAAAAAACATACTTAGTATCAAATTTGCTAAGCTCTGTCTTCAACCCAGTAAGCATCGCTTTTCGCGAGTCAAAAGAAGTTCAGGCTACCATTGTTTAAATTAGACAGGTTACACATAACCCTTGTTTTAAAAGTGAATTAGATGACTTAGATCTAATTAGATAGTATATTTTAGTGTCCCAAGTCTTAACTACACATGTAAATGCTGTGAAAAGAAACATTTACTTTTCAACCAAAGTTAGCGCAGTGTTAATGTGGAAATCTTGTGACCTGCAAATTTCAAATGCTTACTGGGAGAGCAGGCAACCAGAACATACTGAATGTCCCAAGATTTTTTATAGACATAAAACCTTACAAGACAAACTAGGTTTGATTCCACAGTTTCAGTGGAAAATTTGATAAGATGGTATGTTCAAATGTAATTAACTATGCAGTTAAAGAAAAAAGTCAGCTATGGGTTTGCTATGGGTTCTGCATATTGCACATTTTAGGAGCATCTTATAGCCAAATCTTGTTCTTCTTTATTTTCTTATTTTGTTCAGTTTGCCTCTACTGTCTGTGCTGCCGTACACATTTCTCTTCAATTGTTTTTATCATAAATATCACTTGTTTGGATAAGACAACAGAACTACAGTGTTGCACCAATTTGGTTTAAATAACTAAGGGCTTGTGTCTCTGTACTAACCAGGACATCCTGGCATACAACTGTGAGGAGTCTGCCTGCTGCACGCTGCCTTTTCCCATCATAGCGGACAGTAAACGTGAGCTGGCAGTGGCCCTGGGCATGCTGGACCCTGATGAGAAGGACAAAGATGGCATGCCGCTCACTGCCCGCTGTGTAAGACTTAACAGTCAAAATCAAATGTTTTTAGCCAGCATTCAAACTTAATATCCAATATCTACTCTCAAGCCTACAGTAGAGATTAACCCTCTCAGGCTCCTACTCTCTGTCTCTGTTTGTGTGTAGGTATTTATCATTGGCCCTGACAAAAGGCTGAAACTATCACTCCTCTACCCAGCAACCACTGGGCGCAACTTTGATGAGATTTTGCGAGTGGTGGACTCACTCCAGATCACAGCAGGGAAACGAGTGGCCACACCTGCCGACTGGAAGGTATGTCACGCCTTTCAAAGTGACCTCAGTTGGCACCAATCATTTCAGCAGCTGACTACAGAGATAATAGAAACAGGAATTGACCTGATGCCATGGAGAATAACCCCCATTTCTTTTCCGTGTCTGCCTTCCGCCAGCCTGGAGACTGTGTGATGGTCCCTCCCAGCATGTCTGAGGAGGAGGCTGCCTCTTTGTTCCCAGGTGGTGTCTACACCAAAGACCTGCCCTCTGGCAAGAAGTACCTGCGTTACACGCCCCAGCCATAAGCACAAGCAGAGACAGTACTGATATTCAACACTCGCTTTACAAAATGTCACACAGACTGTCCTATGATCCAGCAGCTCTCAACCCTTGACTTCAAGAACCTTGAGTTCTGATCACCAGGTAGAAAAACAAGTCAGTGGACAAATGACAACCAGTGCCTTTTAGAATATGTAAGACTTTTTAAAGTTTTTACAGTTAAAATAAGTTTTAAACATGTACAGTGTACCAATAATAAAAGCTGCAATGTTGCAGGAGGAAGTGGTTTGTGGTGCCATTTACACTAAGGGTGAGGAAATAATGTGGTCGCCTTGCCTGGGTAGTGAGTACTCATTTTAGGTTTACAATCAATAAACCTGGGATTGTCTACTCTCACATAACTGATTGCTGTAAGTTTGCAATAGTTTTGCCAGGCCACACTGATTATTTTCACAGAAAGTCTTGTGGATTTATTGTATCTATATATAGATCATGGTTATGTAGCGATGAGTATTAGGAGTAATTTTTTACTAAAGAATGATGTTTAGCAAACTCACTGAATAACTCTGTCATGATTTCGGGACTCCACTGTTTAGAAATATCTTAGTGTTGGGCAGCAGAGCTCTCCCTGCCCCCTCTTTGTCATAATTTACTTCTGTTTGAAGGCGGCTGTTAACTCAGCTGTGTAGGATTTGGCGTTCCCCGTCACCGGGTCGACAGCATTGGTGAAGAGCTTATCAACTTTGAGCCTGGGAACTGCTGGCAACAGGTTCCTCTCTGCGACCAGCGGACAGGACAATTTAAGGACAGTGGAGGAATTACAAAGAGGAAATGAAAAGATAAGATAAAATACAGTGAAGATAGAACAAAGGACATGGTTTTTAAAAATGAATGAGCGTGTCACCACTTAGTTGAAGCTCACTAAATTATATATCAAAAGACATTAGTTTGGAGTGACTGGCATGAGCACAGTTCTATCATTTAAATTTTTTATTAGGAATACATTTGAAGGTGTCAGTACTTGCCGGTTTGTGACTTTGGATGGAGCAAGTGAACACTGTAAAATCTGTCGATGTTACCTCCTTCACTCCTGCATCCTGCTCTTTGTTTTGGGTAGAAATGCAACAGTGGATCTACAAGGACAGACAGCCATGGAAAGCTCCAACAGCTTGTCCCCATAAAGGTCTTCTTTACTGTCATCTGCCAGGTGGTGTTAAATCGAGCATGTGTGAAGTCTAAATTCTGCCAGTCATATATCCAGAACCAACTTAACCCCTGACAGATAGTCAGCCACAGAGAGCGGTTTTCCTTCAGGTTCCTTCAAACTGGGCCATTAATAATATCAGGGAAATTAGCAGGGTTAAGACTACTGTTCTTGTCTCTAGTGTGTGGATTTGTCATCACTATTACGTCAGAGAGAGTCAGTTCCAACTTGGCCGCCTCCCACCAGCAGTGTCATCTCTGGTTCATGATGGCTTGGTACTCCCTCTGGTGGGCGAACAGTCGCAGGAACACTTTGTACTTTCTCTCATAGAAGCTAAAAAAATGAAATGTAGAAAATAATTACACAAATCTGATGCATAGTACTGTATGTTTCAGTTTTTATTGTAATAAAAACATGCAGACTTCTTAAATGTGAAGTTTTTCTCATAACCTGGCTGACTTTAAGGAGACTAGTATAACATTTTGGTTTCACCTTGAATGAATGGACTCATTTAACAGAAAAATACCTATAACTCAATCAATCTTTATCTATGTGGGTCATTTTGCACATTTAAAAGCGATGCAATTTCCTTCACATTAGAAATAAATTGTTCTAACATATGGCTCTGTAAAAACGATGCATTCTTACTAAATTGGGCATATATTTGATCCATTTGTTACTATCCCACAGGCCATTACAGCAACCGTGACATCACCAAATATTTGGGGAAAAAACCCTCTTTGTCTCACCTCTGGAGTTCATTGTCAGGCTGAACAACTTTCCCCACTTTAGCCATTTTCTCCATTGCCTCCTAAAACATAAATTGCAAAGACAAATATCCCTCAATAAATCATGTTATGCACATTCGGTTTTAGGCCAGCCGTGACCCAGTTATAGTATTAACACAAGCCAACTGCAGTGGTTTCGATGTGGCTGAGTTTATGACTAATGCAGTGCTGGGGCTCTCTCCTGGCTAAACCTACAAAATCCAGCTACATGACTGTGTGCAGCGCTGAGGATCAGACACAACTGCCTGCTAGTAGTTATGACTGAAAACAGGTGCAGCCTAGTCCAAAGTCTTATTTTTAGTATATCTGGCTTAAAGGCTTGCCATTGTGCTACGAGCTCTGGTACTGAGACACCAAGGGATGATAGCTTGACCTAGCAACAGATTAAATCATCGCTTATATCTTAAACACATAGAGTGCAAATCCACTCTGTGACTGAGGCAAGCAAAGCAATGTAAATTTTGGTTCCACCCAGTAGATGGAGGCATTGAGTCAGTGATTATAAGATCTGTGCCATGTGCATGTAGCGTGGCATTTTACATTTCTGAAGTCAATTTCTTAAATTTCATTAAAATAAGATTGGTTTGCAAACAAATGAATATATTGCACAATAAAATTTCAATGTACAAACATTTAACCCATGAAGTTCAAGTTCACTAGAACAAATTTTGAGAATTATTTTCTCTGTCACACAATTCCCCCACCTTTATGGAAGTGTAATACTAAATAACTGTAGATCCCCTTTAACAGCAAATTTCAGAAGTATCAACAAATTTTACATTTTTGCTTCAATATTAGCACTGTTTTTACTTATTTTCATGGCATTGAAAGATATTAACATAATTAAAAAGATTGTATTAGCACTTGATTTTTATGTTGTTTCAGGCACACAAGGTCCTTCTTACATATTTTCTCCAAAATCCTTAATTACAACATATAGAAATATTTTATGCTTTTCAGAACTAAGCTGTTTAATGCAACCTGCACAAAGCAGTGCATTCAGAAGCACAAAACAACATACAGTGGGCTGATTTACAAGTGTGTTATTGTAGACTGCACAGGCCATTTTAAAATTACAACTACAAATTTTTAATTATTAAGGACAATTTTAAGCTAAAGCTGCATGAAGTCTCAAAAGCCTTTTCTGCCTAAGCCCCTGTCAACTTTATGGCCTTAGTTTACATACTACGGTATGTAATGTAATGTTTGTGTATCACACCACCTGTATAGTGCTGTAGTCCTGTGATGCACATGCACCCAGGACTGCTGCTCCTATTAGCACAGCCTCTATCTGGTCAGGCAACACCACAGGCAATCCTGAAAAGTATAATACTGAAAAAATTAGAATTGGCTTAAGCCTCCACGGGAGATAATGTCCAACAAAAGTTTTGATAACAATGTGGATTATTTAGTAGAAATTGTAGAGAAACAAAAGTTGTTGTGATGCCATTACTTTATATTTTGGGGTGAAATGCCTATTTAGCTAAATTCACAAAACAGTCATCGTCCCTTGTTTATACCTGTAGCGTTGGCATGAATCTGTACAAACAGAGCATTTTTGCTCAACCCGCCACACAGGAAGAGGGTTCTGATGTCATGTCCTGCTTCTTTCATAGCCTCGAGAATATGAAGAGTACCAAGCTGAAACCAGAGAAAAAGACACAAGGGGAATCAGGTTACAGGTAATCAAATACAATCTTCTTTCGTACTTTAAGGTACTTGGATGTCAGACTGAGGCTCAGAGGTGGTCATTTGAAACAAATGAAACACAGTAGACTCACAGCGAGGGCTTGTACAGTGGCCAAATAGAGCAGGGCCAAGTCATCCAAAGTTTGGGAGAGTGACAGTCCGATCACCTGCAAAATGGTAATGAGTCATTCATGAAGAAATGTCTCAGTGCTGAATAATAGGGGTCACCAGACAGTGAAAACCGTAAATGATCTCTAATCAGCGATTTGGTTGTAACAATGTTCACCAGTTATCTGCTCACTGGCTTCCTGCTTCCTGGAGCTGCAGATATGGCCTGGAAACAACAATTAGCTGACTGAACACAGAAATCATTTCATGCTCAACTGATCAAGTTTCTTCTTTGCACTTACAAAATCATGATACTTTTTTGAATGCTTAGCAGTGAATGTAAACTGTTGTCAGTACAATGTTAAAAAAAATAAAGGCGACATCTACAAAAACAAACAAATCGTTTGTGATGCAATGATAATGACCCAGAGCCTGGCTAAAAGTTACCAGTTTCATTTAGCTTCTAGCTAACTGTATCATGCATTTATTTTGTTTAAAAGAATAGTTAAATATTTTGGGAAATACCCAATTTCAATGAGATTATTTATACCACTGTCATGTCTGTGCTTTACGTATGGAGCAGGGACACGATTAGCTTAGCATAGCGAGTGGACAGCTACCATGGCTCTGTCAAAAATTTAAAATTTCTCCCACTAATTAACAAATGTTTGTTTGTTCATTTGTTTAATCAACATCTGTTTAATCGACACACACAAAGAAATGTAAAAACGATAATTTGTGGTTTATGGGGCATGTGGGGCTGTACCCCAACTCCATTTCCATACTTAATTATTTGCTTACTTAATCATAAGCATTATGCTTCCATAATATGCTTTACTAATTATTCCTTATTTACTAAAATGATCAAATTTAACTAAATTGGTTAGAGGAGGGTCTGCAATGATCGCTCCACCTCTGTAGGTTAGGGTGGTAAATAAACTTAAAAACCCACGCTTTGTTTAATAGTATTTTATGTCATAAGTTACACTCTCTCACCATGCCCTTCAAGGTGGGGTCAGCCAGGGGAGACCTGTTCCCGTGAAAGTCTGGCCACAAGTGCAGACTGGAGCCCAGCAGGTCAACAGCAGAACCGGAGTTGGCCATTAAACTCAGGTGGCTGTTCAGGTAGCTGTAGATATTCTCTCCAGTAAAAGGAAGTCTTGGAAAAAGAACAGCAAGCAAATAAAGAGCTCCGTCTGATAAAATGTCATTAAAGATGGTGCTGTATGGACACTACTTTGTTTAGAAAGTTTTACAGGCATTATGACATGACATAGCAGGAATATCTGTTACTAATCACATGTAACAGTAAGCCATGTCAGTAGGTGAGCATGAAAATTATACCAGAGCATTCTTCTTTAATTCTAAGTAAAAGTTAAGCTTCTAACCTTCCCAAAGCTTACTAAACCTTATTATACGTCAGCTGAACAGAGATGACAGCTGTGCTAGAATATTTTCGGGAAGTGCAGCACTAAATGCATCAGCTGACCTCTGCCGTGCCTGTTCCTGGAGCTGGGTGTAAGCGGTGTGACCCTTCACCATGTGGTCGATCTGAGGGAGGACAGAGCAACACAATTTAACAGAAAGTATTAGAGATGACACAGCTAAAGGCATAAAGGCTCGTGAAGATGCAACTTCTGATTTTATATCGTCACTGATTAATTTATCAGTTATTTTCAATTACTGGCCAAAAATGTAATCAATAAAGTGTCAAATACATTTTACAAATTCCCATGAAATTCCCATGGAGCTTAAAGGGATGGTATAAAATGGCTTATTTTGTCAAACCCACAGTTAAAAAACCCAAAAGGTATTTAATAGAAACCAGCCAGAAACCACAAAATATTCTGTTTTTTTACTAATATATATATATATATATATATATATATATATATATATATATATATATATATATATGACTGTTCATAGTTTATAAACATTGTTAATAATAAATTTCTCTACAACTAAAAAAACCCCTGAAATAACTGATGAAATAACTGTCACTCTTACATCATCCATTTATTTACTATAAAGGAGACAGCCTGCTTTAAATGTCATCGTTTATGTGGCCAGATGTGTTGATCACGTCTGGGTGTCTTCTGGGTGCATGGTCACATGGATTTTATACATTTTGTATCTACTTGCATTCAGTTTTCTGTCACTGTGCTGCATAAACCCTGGTCAATAAAGTCATGTATAAAGCTTGAGAGTGGACTGACCAGCCTTCCCGTAGCGCTCTGTCCTCCCTCGTTGAGCCACATGCCAGGCACCATGGCAGACAGGCAGGGCCCCCACACTCCTGGCACAAACAGAGGCTGCTCGCTGAGCTGATGCACACAAAGGTGAAAAATGTAATTTTTTAGTTAGCACTGTATATCTGTATATCACACTAACAATGAGTTTACATCTACAAAGATATGCATGCTCTAAAAGCTAACAGAAATACTTTTTGTACTTATGTTTTAAATGGCAATGGAAACCACTACAGTTTCAATTTCAGATCAACAAAACAAGATTGCCAACAGTTTGCTTCACTACTTACAGTTACTGCCATTGGTCTGTGCACACAGGATAATTTCTACATACAATAACAATTCACTGAACATATAATATATGTAAACATTAAGGAAGAGAGGAAAATATATAAGACTTCTTTTAACTGATTGCACACCTGCGTATTATTTTTACATCACTTCAGAGTTGACTCAGTTAACACACCATAGGCAGTGATTGTATGATTAATTATAGGAGGTATTTTATTATTCATGACATTCTCGGTAAAGTGTGCATGTGTCAGAAAGGTCATCATGGAGATCACACCATGTCTATGTTTTTTAATAGCACATAAGCACAGTGTTTGCTAAACACTGACACTGAAGTGTACAACGGGTAACGTAACCCACTCACCGCCATGTGACAGGTTGATGTCCCACAGATCATTGCCATGCGTGAGGTGATTGGCTGGTCCTCACAGGGCAAGTGAAAGCCTTTTACATCTGCACCTATAACACCTGGGAGGAGTTACATACATAAATACATAAACATTTTTTAATTTTAATTTTTCAGGGGGTGGTAATGTAATATTACCCAAACAAAGTTTACAAAACTCCTGTTAAAGCCCGGTCAAGGACTAATCACAATGATTTGCAGATCAAAAGCTTTAAATCCTTTTAATGTGGTTCTCTAACCTTCACCTGGGATCCAGCAGTGACACTAACTGCTGGAATAATGTTTGTCAAGCTGGTTTGAGTTTGAGGTGGAAGGTTCATCTATGCACGGGAGCAGCGGGTATACATCACTGTGACATGCACAACAAGCGTTTTTTAACCTCTGACTGATGCAACAATGTGTGATCGGCAGAGGTCACAGCCAGAGGGCAGAGGGCAGAGTTCATGAGCAGTTTTATCTCTAAGAACAAAACCAGATGGTTAGGATTTCTGTAACAAAGAAAATACTGCTGCAAGGAAGCTAACAAGGTGTTTACAGATACAGTATACAGCGGCATTAATTAAATTATTAATTATTGTTGCACAGAAAATTAAAGTTGGGGGAGTTTTGGTGGGCAAGCAGTCTAAAATTCACGAGTTAGCTCAACATTCCTGCTTTGATTCTAGTTAGGAATCTTCGTATGTCATCCCCCTCTTGTATCACTACTACTTTCAGCTAACTTTGTGTGCCAATTTCTTCTTTACTCGGTCTGTTTGTCTATACCTGAGCAAATTATCTTGACAACTACTGGCTCAGAGTGCAATAATCTAATGGACAGATGGCTTTGAAATTTACCAAACATCCTCATTTTCTCCCAAAAATACACTATTTGCTTATGGGACTCTTTGTTGGTCAATTTTCAACTTTGTGCACAAGATACTGAAAACTCTTGGCTGGAATTCCATTAGTCTGCTTTATTTTCACATTCCCCTAAGATTAAAAATTGAGTGTTTGCAAGCTGACCTTGTCTAGAACTACAGTCAAGCTAACCTTGTGGCTGTGTGCAAGAAATATCTAAATGTAACCAGAAAATTGTCATGAAGTTTATTTAAGTTCTCTTGTGGATAAGCATCTTAATTTTTGACATTACATACATACAACTTAGACCAAAATGTCAACTTTAGACATTAGCTTTAAATCTTCTACCTCTCTTTTCCATTTCATGTCTTTTGAAGCGTCAAGGTCTAGCAGGGTTGGGCTTATACACCTTGCTTATGACACATTTTTCATGAAATGTGTCAGTTTATATTTTAAAAGCTGTTGCTTCTCAAAGCAACAGGGGAACCTGCAAAGTTACCTTATGCACCTTCGAAAAAATTTATAAAATTTGGCAGAAGAAGATTGGTTCAATAAACAGATTTAGGATGTAATACCAAGGCCTCCAGCATGAGCATCAATGAGAGAAGCAGCAACTGCAGTTCTTGGGTCCAAACCCAAATCTGCTGCTGCCTGCTGGGTGAGGCCGTCCCCCAACGGGCTCCCTGGAGCGCACGTCACACTGCCTGGGTGGCAGAAAACAGCACAGCTTAAATTAAAGATGATGTGTTTGAAAAGATCATAATACAAATGCTCTGTGAAGCTTCCTACCAATATTTTCAGATTTTCTTAAAATCTTACAATATACAATTAATTAACTGTTAGCTTGTTAATTTATTTTACCTATTTTGGAAAAACTGTTTTCGAGGAGATCCTCCAGGCCAATGCTAGTCCAAAAACTGGCATCCCATCCTTCTGGAGGGCAATATGTCCATTTACACACCAGAGTACATAAAGACCTGCGACACGTTGCAGAGTAGTACTGAAACATGTCTCATAATATATTCATTAAAGTACAGCTTGGGGTCACATTAACAGCATCTGGTGAAGGCAACATTTTCAAAAATCAAAATGCTTTTGTTGCTTTCCATGACAAAAAAACTAATTTCTTAGAATTACCCCTGATGTAGAGGACAACCCTATTCTTTCTTTTAAACAGACATTTGATACAAGGATAATGTATCACACAGTCACAATGACCATCATCCAGCAAAGCTCACCGTGTCAAAGAGCCTGTTGCCTTCCAAGACAGGAAGTCTGGAAGGTCAAAAAAGTGAGCAGCTTTGTTCCAGCAGCTTTCTTTTAGATTCTGATGAAAAGACAAGAGGAAAGTGATCACTGAGAGAAATAATAGCACATGCATGTACTACCAGACCTTGACCAACAAACCACTTGCATGGAAACTTCACCATGTTTTGAAGATTCAATCTATCAGATGCCTCCCAAGAAAAATGGCGGTATGGCTGAAAGACTTCTAAAACAACACTAGGCACATGCTGACCAGCCAATACAGACAGGGATAATAAAGCATAGAGATCAGTGGTCCTGTGCTGACCTTGCTCACCTCTCACCTCTTTGAGCCAGAGCAGCTTAGGGGGTTGTATCTCTGGTGACATGACCCCTCCCACCCTGCTCAGGACCCTGTGGCCGGCATTTGTTATACGAGCAGCCTGCTCTTCAGCACGATGGTCCATCCACATCACCACGTTCCTTTGTCTGTCACCTTGGAAGGCAAAATGTAAAGAAAAGACATCATATATACATATACCAATATTTAATACTGCATGGACTGAATATCCCAGATGCAATTCTAACATTAAATTGGTCTATTAGGAGTCATTTAACCTGAGTATCCCCTGTGTCCACCTTGCTTAATTGATAAAAACATGAATCCCTACCATCTGGCAGGGTTCTGCTCTGTAGCTGACCCTGACCTTTGACCTCGTAGTGGAGGAGGGGATATTACCTTTAGGGATCAATAACATACCCCTTCACATTAGACTAAAACAGCATGTCCAAGAAAAAAACACTGTATAACCTAAACTGTGTAATATACCCATAAGGTGTATATTAATGGCGCTTTACAAAGTTTTCCTGAAGCAAAACCTATGAGTGAGTTGTGAGGTACATAGGGTAACAAAGTGTTTCACATACCATCCTGACTGACTGGCACAGGCTGGAAGCTTTGGTCCAAAACCACTAGAGAGCAGGTGGCATCAAAGCCAATCCCTCGTACCAGACTCCTCTCCACACTTTGGGTAACTCGCTGGAATAGATTAAAAATAAATAAATGCTTGGTTTCTTTGCAGTTGACAGGGGGTACATGGAAAGACAGTGAAGTATCTTAGCTAATTTTAAAATTAATTTTAAATATGACTTGTTCGTGTTAAGCAGAAAAATACACATCCAAATAGAACCTCAAACTGGTGCGATGCTGATGTTTAGTAAATGTATTGACAACTAGCTGTCTGTTCAGTACCCAATTCCTACCATAGCAAATTAACAGAGAAGTTGAAATAGTCAGAAAAAAGTGACACAGAAATGGTCGAAAGAGTAAAAGTAATTTATAAAGAGCTGAAATGTTAGCTACATGTAATGGATAAACGGTTAAAATAGTAAGTGGAAAGTAACAGATAACAATTTAAATATCTTAAGATCAGAATAAACACCTAAAACTAATGATGAGCTACTTAAGTGCATCTGATTATGGAGGACATGTTAATAAAAGCTTGGGAAACTGAGATCACCCTACTTTGACCACTGTGCAGCATTTCTCCCAGATCTCAGTGGAGGACTGGACATAATGGTCAGATTGGGGCTCCCAGATGCTGATGGGCTCCTCTGCAGTGCTCTTCAGCAGGCCCGCCCTGGTCACCAGTGCAGCCCTCACACTGGAAGTGCCCACGTCCACTCCAACATAGTAGACCTCTGCCATGAGACGAGCTGAATGTGGAGGAGGGATAGCAGGAGAAGGTCCGGTGTTAAATATTAACTGGTCAATGTCAACCCGTTTCGAAATAGGTGCAGGTAAACAGAGATTTCAACGCAAGAATATCGTACATTTGCTTTTAATTCATTATTTCTTGTCTATGTCTTCTTGGCACATCACACACTGAAATCGTCCTCAAGACCTCAACTGAACACTATCGTTACTAGACTAGTGCAGCAACTGGGAAGATAACGTTAGTGATTTTTCACTAATGATTTGCACAGAAAAACATTTCAAATACGCATTACAGACGTGATCAAACATAGAGGAAATCAGCTAGAACGACCTCTCCGAACTTACCGGAAGATCAAAATATTATTACAGCGCAGAAAAGAAAAAAAAAAAATCAGATTTGAGTTTCTGATAAGTGTACTTTGAGCTGCAGACGGTGGCCGCGACGGAACGCGAAAGCGGCCAAAAAGGACAAAGTCGAAAACGAAGTAAAAACTGGCAAGCACCACGAATGGGTTATTTTAGATTCTCTCTATCATCAAGTTGTTATCTTGTTGTCTTTGGAGAGTCCAGGTTTTTAGAAGGTCAATAGGCCTTGAAAAAAATCACTGCAACACAAACAAAATCTTCATCATTGTGCATTATTATGTACTGGCTATTGTGGGAGATAGGAGTGCATAGCTGTTTTGTTGTTACTCAAGCTGTTTTTTTTTTATCATATTAACACAAACAGACACACAAGAAACAGAGTGGAACTCAAGGGTTACAGCAAGTCATGCCGTTAAGCCAGCATGCACAATGCAAAGGATCCAGAATTGGTGAGACTACATGGTATGCAGCCACCGTTAATGTATTAAACACGTGTTTTCGTGCTATGAAAACTCAAAATATTTTCTGTGAATAAGATCTATGAAAATACTCAACAACATGGGTACAGACAGTGTACATGAATTACACAGCTGAATTAAGGACCAATCTAGTCTACCAATCTAGAGTAGTGTAGTGTTAGGGCTGCAATATGGGATTTGTTGCAAAACGGTTGAGGTGATGACAGGCCATCAAAAACATTTGACATGTCAAACTTTCTACCCTCCTTGTCTCTTTACTCTAATGTGTTCTTTTCTTGAGATCAACAGCTGTCTAAAGGAAGTGGTGCTGGCTGTGATCAGCGTGTTTGGACCAGGAATGATCAGCATAGATGGAGTACAGAGAGAAACCAAGCAGCAGGACAGGAAGAAACAGATGGCCTTCCACAAACACTGCACGGACAGTGTTTGAAAGCTCATCTGTCTCTCTCACTGCTCGACGTGTCTGCGTGTGCGTCTATGTGTCCCTCTGGTCCACGCCTGAAGGTAATCAAAACTTTGTTCTGTTCATACATCAACACATGCATATATAGTCTTTCTCTGTGTTTTCCTCTCATGAAAGGAGGACTGTTTCCATGGACCTTACTGTCCCACCTGGGTACATCAAAAGCTGGCCTGTTGGGAGGCAGGCAGGACCAGCTCCTGATTAGAAAACTTCATGCAGTGGAAACAGCTGGCCTGGGCAGGGGAGGAGGGAAGCGCTGTTATTTAAAAGCAACCCCATCAGGCCAGCAGAGGGGAAAAGCTGACAAAGAAACAGGAAGCGTGGCCGGGGGACAGCGGTAGTTTGATAGGAAAATACTCTCTAGGGCTTAACACAGGTGTACAGAAAGAAACAGAGAGAGTAAAGTGTTTCAGAAAGTTATTGTTACATTGTAAGATGCTCTGTTATATTAGAAGAGAGGAAAATGGAAAACCGAAGGAAAGAAAGAAAAAGTGGAGGCCTTGTTTGCCTCCATTGCTGCTGTGGTATTAGACACAAATGTTTCTGAAGCATTCCAGCACTGGATTTCCACTTCAGGGTGTCAAATACTTCCAAATGGGTGTTGTGAGGACAACATGTCATCTCAAGAGTGTTGACCTCAGGCAGCTCTGGTTCTCCCAGGCTGTCTGGGGCTGTTAACTTATTTATAGTTGGCTTGAGGACAGCATGTTGAATAATACAATGGGGGAGGCAGACTGGACTGCAGCTGTACAGAGCCTTCAGTCATGAAGTGCAGCTTCACATTTACCTACAGGCAAAGATCAAGTGGCCAAGTGATAAGCATGAGCGACCTATACGTTTGAGGGCTAAAATGTATATCATGATACATTTACCATGATAACTATAAATGCAATTATTTGTCATTTGTCCTTATTACAGATATGGCCAGTTTAACATCTGGACATTTGCAATTTACTGTGAGCTGACTGGTTAATTAAGATAAGCTTGAACTTTATTCATCTATGAAAGTTTAAATATAGATATATCAATATATAAATGATAAATGAATGTGCTGGGTACTGCTGACTATGGTATGTTATAAATTATTAAAAAATTACAGTATGTTACAAATGACAAGCATATAATATATTAAGAAAATGGGTGTTGGAGCTATTTCCACTTTGATTATATGAGAATTGAACAATTTATTAGAATCTGCAGTATAATATAAATGTATAAGACAGAAAGAAATTCATAATGTCTGTATTTTTTTTTAAATTCAGTTTATTGTTTAGCTCTAGAAACCAATATGAATTAATTGTACTTCAACATACACAGGTTACAATAACAATTTGACTTATTTATAGGTAGCGTATGTTGGTTGTGATCTATTTTCATACCCACTCGTGCCTGTCTTCCTGTACACTGAGTGTTTGGCCCTGTGTACAAGAATATTGTGAGCTTCTGAAAACTCCAGTCATATTAGTTGGCCTATAGGCCTATGCTCCTTAAGTTCTCTGCAAGAACTAAAAAAGGAACTTCAAACATGCAGAGTAGCGGAAAGACGTTTTTAAAATGTGTTGTTCTTTACAACAGAAGAGCTCTTGGTGAAGGTAGGCTATGACCTCACTTTCTGTCTTCTGTCTTTAACCCTTAACTACTTTACCATCCAACAGCACTCATTTTCTGAACTGTTATAACTACATTTAGCCTATAGCGACACTGACAATTTCAAGTGTCTGCATTTTGATAATTAGGTAGGCTACTCATTTGCATATGCTCTTATTTAGTGATCTGTGAAACATTCTGTAAGCAATATGTTGCTTATCAAAACCATAGCCTATTATTAAAAGAATATTGATTTGCTGTCATGTGTTAATCACGACTAAGTTCTATACGCCATCTGGACCAGCCCTCACTTTAAGATGGGTAACTAATAATTGAGCGGGTAACTAAATATTCAAAAACACTACGTAATCCCAGAGTACATTGCTGCACTGTCTGCATTACCTAATCCCATAAGCCATCGCGGGGGGGCGGAGATATGGCTAGTTGTCAGAGCAACCTGCATGTCATTAGACATACCCCGCCCACCAAATCAGATCAAGCCAATCAGAGTCCGTAGAAATGACATCATTGTTATTTTCAGTAGAGCTGCAGCTTAGAGGTGGATAAAGTTCGTCTCCACGTTGGAAGTGATAGAAAGTATAATCCCTATTCAGGCTCTGTTTCCAGATTTTCGGGAAGGAGGATAAATCAGAGAGGATACTTCAGGTGTACAAACACCGAGGCTCGGCGGCGGGGAACTACGTTTTCCGTTGATGATCACACGGTTCACAAGAGAAAAGTTTTCTCCGGACGCGAAGTTGTCAAGTGAGTTGAACTTCAACAATAGGCGGACTCTTTCACAAGACAGTTAAGAGAAAGAGAGTCACAGGACGTATGTAAACCATTCGATCTTGTGCTTTTTTTAAGGAATAGACCTCCCTAAAGGTGATAAAAAACTTTATGTCCAGAAAAATGGAAGCGACATTTTACGACGAAGCCGTGAATGCGTCCAACTCTGACGGGACGACGGTGTATGGGTTCAACCCCAAAACCCTGAAACAGACCATGACTCTGAACCTAAACGACCCAAAAAACTTCAAACCCCAGCTGAGCTCCAAGGCCCTGGACATCCTGACGTCCCCTGATGTCGGGTTACTGAAGCTGGCCTCGCCTGAATTGGAGCGATTAATCATTCAGTCCTGCACCGGGCTGACGACTCCCACCCCGACCCAGTTCGTCTGTCCCAAGAACATCACCGACGAGCAGGAGGGGTTTGCTGAAGGGTTTGTGAGGGCATTGGCTGAGCTCCACTACCATCAGCAGGGTCCCGCACAGGCCGGCGCCACCAACAGCATGGTATCCGGCTCCGCTGCGTCTGAGGGCGGCGGGGTTCCCTACAGCTGCACGGTGCGCACCGACCCGCCGGAGTACACAAACTTGGGCACTTTCAGCCGGATTATGGGCTCTGCGTCTGCACCTGCCAGCGAGAGGCACCCACCTATAAGTTACCCGGCTTCCCAATCGTCATCCCACAACCACATGGACCACCAGCGGCTACACGCACTCAAAGAGGAGCCGCAGACGGTGCCCGAGATGTCCGGCGACACCCCACCGCTCTCCCCCATCAACATGGAGAACCAGGAGCGCATCAAAGCAGAGAGGAAGCGCATGAGGAACAGGGTGGCCGCGTCCAAATGCCGGAAAAGGAAGCTGGAGAGGATCTCCCGGCTGGAGGATAGGGTCAAAAACCTGAAGAGCCAAAACACGGAACTGGTTTCCTCTGCCAACGTCCTCCGGGACGAGCTGGCTCTACTCAAGCAAAAGGTCATGGACCACGTTAACAGCGGCTGCCAGCTCATTTTGACGCAGCAGCTCCAAGCTTTCTAGAATACCATGGGGAAAGAACCAAGGGACATTTCTTGGGGACCAAATGCAGCTTAAAGTGGCCCGCGGGGGAAGTCCCTGCGTCTCATGTCATTTCCCCACCAAATTATCTGCTCAGGCTGTATCCATTAAGTTTTCGCAGACATTTGAGCAACGAATGGAGACTGAGAAGATATGGGCTACTTGTAATTGGTCAATAGTCTGCGTCCACCAAACTTATTGCACAGACACACTGCAGTTCAGAGAGAGCATTTGTTCCAAACACCCCTCTGACCCCTGTGACTTGTACATATTTCTGGCAATTTTGTCTTTTCTTTTTTTTTTTTTTCATTGAACAAAGATCAAATGTTTATTCAGTCAAGCCAAGGTACCATGGCAAGTGTCCAAAACTGAAGAGATTTCTAAATCGAAAAAGCTCCCACGCAGTCTTGCGTGCTATATTAGACCTGTGTGGGATCAAATTGCAAATCGTCAGAAACCCATTGGGAATGAGGCTTTGCCTGGCAAATCTCCCACTATGTCACGTAGCAGTTTATGCATATTGACATAAGTCGAGCACTTAGTATCCCACCAGCGACCACACAGTATGTACAGAGTAACACTAACAAAAAAACCTCACATCTTTACGCAAGGACTCTCGTAGGTGTGTAGCGTTTACTGACAAAACTGCCTTACTTTCTTAACACTTATGTTCATACAAGTTTGTGATCAAGGTGTAACTGTTAGACCTGAATTAACACTTTGTAACATTTGTACGCTGTATTTTGAGCACTTCGGAACTGTACCTAATGAAAAAATAAAATGTTATGGACACGCATGAGTGAGTAATTTTTGTGTACTTAATCATTCACCATTGAATGCAGCCTTGCGGTACACTGCATGTAATACGCATTGTTATTGAAGGAACTGAGGCGGACAGGATATTGAGTCACCAGTGCAGTGTGTGGCGATTGTAAAGATTGGTGAATCTACGAGGCCACCCATTGGACAGCGGTGTCGGAAGTGAGCAGCAGCCAGCCAAATATGGCAAGAGGTCCTCAATGCGCACTGGGACGGGGTGTGCGTGCGTGTATGTAAATCACCGTCCTCCCACAACAGCTGGTGACTCCCAGAAGAAACCTATGAGGCCTAAGCGGATCTGCGGAAGTGTTTCGAGGTACAAAAGAAATATTCTCAGTCTTGTTAAGATATGGACAACTTGTACCAAAAGAAATACATTTATTTACTTTGTGAACTACTGTCTGTGATATAAATTACAAACAAGCTTTGTGTAGAAAACGGTACAAATACAATGTATATACATTTAAACCTGAACCAGATCATGCACACAAACATGTGCACAGAGACAAAAAAATCTTAATCTGTACACAGATTGTGGACCACAAACACTGATGGATTCTCAATGGCCTTAATCCACACACTTGTACAATGTTATAGGAACACTAAAGGAGACAACTCCTTTAGTTAGATATTGAAGATATTGAATGTTTATTTAACAGTTGTGGTGCATATCTGACAACATGAAGAAGCTTCTTACACACACACACACACTAACACTGCTACCTGGCCCCGAACCTTATTTTCCTGTCCAGTGCTTGTAGCTGCTGGTATGTCCTGAACACTCAATATTTTGCCACCAATTTAGATACTTACTATAGAACAGAAATTCCAAATGATGGTTGGTCGACTGCCGCAAAAGCTGGTGGAATATACAAAAATAAAGCAGCTACAGCGCTAATTTGCCAGCTGGTGGCTAGAGTTGACGGCCCACTCTGTTTCCACTGGCCAGCAGTTTTATTTCATCTTGCTCCACTCATGTTTTATCTTTTTGTGCAATGTGGGTGTCATTTTCCAGGTATCATAAAAAAAAGAATTCAGTTTTTTTTGGACACACTGCAACCCCTTATATTTTCCATGTGGGCTTCCGGATGATACCCACAGTTTATATACGGTACTGTGTCAGCAGTTCTCAGCTGACGAGCATGCCTTCTTTTGCAGCAAGGCGCTGCCGGTGTACATGGTCCTGCTCTAGTTCTTCATGGCTGGGGTGCCAGAGCCGTGACAGGATCCGCTCCATGTTCAGGGCGTACATGGTGTGGGAGGGCATCACACCATGGTGAACCTACATCAGACAAATGTTCCAGAGAGATATTTAAGCACATAAATCTCTTATGATTAAATGAGGGCAGGCCAGATGCACGAATGTCAATAAAGTCAGTGATAAGCAGCAAACATAAGTATCTGACAACAAACTAGCAATTAAGTACTAGGTCATTACTAATTACTTCTTTCCATTACTAAACATGGTTATTGAAGCTCATTGAGTTCTACACACTGGCTAACGAACACTCTTTCATAATGGATAATAAGGTAATGTGTCTGAATTTTTATGTATGAATCTATTTAAGATAATGTCTCTAGATTTAGTTATTAAATTATAGACTAGTGTTGATTAATCATTTAGTCCATAATAGACAAAAATTACAATTTCCTTTCCTTTCAAATAGGTTGTTTTGCCCCTGTCTACAAATGATCCCTTAAAACTAAGAAAAGCAGATGAGAAGTTAGGACAAGGGAGTGTTTTTGCTTGAATATGAATGTCAATCACACTCATGTTTTGGATAAACTTGGGTATAATGCTATGGAAGAAACCTTATGCCCCCAATTCCAAGGTACATAACTGCATCAAATGTTGTGCAATGCAGTGTATGAGTATGAGAATGTAAAAAATGCATTTTGTAAGTTTAGTTTGGGTTGTTTCAAATACTAGCTGCTATGTTTTTTGAGGGTCCTGGGACTGAGACACACGTGAGCGCATTTCTCTTACCTGTAAAGCCTCCAGGAGATCAAACATACTGATTGGAGGGAGGGGGGCGGGGAGCATTTCAGAAGAACAAGCCAATAAGTGAACAGCTTGCTGCTCAGCCTCATCAGGTGATACTTGAGGTGGCGGGCCAGCAGGGAGAGAAGCACTTGGAGGGGGACTGAAAGAGAGAAAAAGTAAAAATCACTTTGGACTAAAATTGTGATCAGCATTTATGCTACCCTTTAATTACAGCAATAGAAACAATGGTTAACTGTATTGTATGTGGAGCAAAGAAAATAACACCAACAAAGTTTTACCTTTCAACTTCCTTCTCTAAAACCTGCACAATGTTTATCAGCTATGTCACAACTGTCCCTACCATTCAGTTACACTGTGGTAAGCAGCAAGGCTGTTTTTCAGATAAGGCTGCGGCGTGACATCACTGCCAAAGGCGTAGGGGAAATGACCATCTCGTATCCGATACGCCTTCCTCCGGGTGATTACAGCAGTCAGGACGTCTTTCAGGTGGTGCTGAAATAAATCAGAGCAAAAAGTCAAGCTTTTCTCAATCTCCTGGCACACAGCTGTCAGTCATACTTAATGAGCGTTACAGTAAGGACATTAATTTTAATCCTTTGCATGGACGTTAAAACACAGAATTCCAATGAAAAGTTACAATCCAAAATGAAACCACCACAATAAAAAAAACAAAAAAAGACCACTTTTCTCTCCAATGAGTTTGTACTCACATAATTGACATATTAAAGTAGGGATTGTCCAAATAATTCTAAGCTGCATTCATAACATTGACATCAGAGTTCTAAGTCAACATTTGAATTCTGCGCAGCTTTTTTTTGTTTCTGCGTGTCTATTCATACTGTTTAAACCCTGTATTTCAGCACAGTTGCAGATAAAGATAAGGCTACCCCCAATAATATCAGTATTAGAATATTTGTAGAATTAAGTTCAAGTGGTGTAGGATTGTTTCCGGTTTTTATCTGATTCACTGCTTTGTTCTTGCTAATGCCGCTCTCACGCTTCATTAACTCTAGCTAGCTCGACCACTGCTCTCTCTATCTCTATTCACTTTCAATTAAATGGGGCTTTTATGGCACAGGAAATATTTACATTGAAGAAAGTGTGACATAACAGGTACTTTGAAACAAGTTGAACTAATTTGAAATAAGTGAGAACTATTTTAACTCTACAACTTTCTCTTAACTCACTGTCCCTCAGGTGGTGGCATGTTAATACGTATTGGGCAGCAAGATATGCCCTGCCCAGTATTTGTAATTTTAAGAGCTCATTTAGTCCTTTGAAAACTGAGATTACAGAATCTTCCTTTTTTAATTGCCATTTTGTAATCACTGACTTGTACTTGGTTAGTGTCTGTCTCTGCTTTCTGCCAGTTCATAATTTGTTTTTAAGATAATCTACTTTGGCTTTTAGTTTCTTCTTTCTCCCTCTCGCTCGCTCGCTTGTTGAGCCGGGGCCAAATTGGTATTGTGTGTTTACAAACAGCAACCAACAAAAATCCTACTTATTGTGCTTTTACAAAAAAAGACTAACTCGTTTAAATAGACGACTCACTTTATTCAAATTGAGGATTATGTTTGAGCATTTTTATTATGCATGATGACAGACATTCAAAGCTTCTTTCAAAAAAAAAAAACCTCAATAGAATGTGAAAAAAATAAAAAAAGACATTCGGCATAGCCCTAGATATTTTCTTACAAAATGATTCACGTCTTGACAGAATCAATGACACTTTTATGAATTTCAAGAACAAAACTAATACATGAAGTTTTGGAGAGAACCTGTTAAATCTATGGTCTCCTAACGCACAATAAATTGCCCTGTAAGTAAATAGTACAAACGTATCTGAGAGACTGACTAAAAGTAAAATATTAATACTTGCTTCCATGTCTCTGTGTGTGATGATGATTATTATTTTTTACATATCTATATTTTTGCCACAACATAAAAAAAATAACAATTGGGGTCACTGGGTCAGTGTTGTTGGAGATACAAAGTCAGGTATTTACATTTTTGTTATTTTTACTGCATTTTATGCTTATATTTGGTTATTTATATAATTTTATCTACAGATTAAAGACAGTCAGTATGGTCCAGCTATATGTACACAGTACTAGACCATCCACAGTACTGAACTGTAGGTTCAATATGATAAGCATCAACATTATTAAAAGAACTGTGGAGCCACTGAACTGTTACATAGGCACACACCTTCACATAGCTACTCAAATGCTGATGAAGGTATCAAATGTGGCACAGATTGTTGCAATTGCAAAAACTGCTACAAACCTCAACAGCATATATCAGGGTGCTGACGGCATCGTCTGTGATGTTATCCAGGCCCAGCTCAAAGGCCGTCACCATCATGCGGGCCTCCAGCTGGCCCCGCGTGGGCAGCAGCCGAGTATGGGCACTGAGACGCAGCTCTTCCTCATCACCTCCCACCTCCCGTGGACTGAAAGGCTGGGCGGAGCTCAAAGGGTTCTGAGGCTGGAAACGGTGCTGAAGGCGCAAAACAAGACACACAAACATGCAAATGATACAGACAGTGAATTGTTACAGCACCTGGTGATTAATTAGGTGCAGCTAACCTTAAAACCATTTACACCCAGACATAATTTATGAAAATTTCGACATTTAGCAGAAGTGCTGGAAACTTGAACACAACCAGCCAATGCAGAGATGATGTGACTTAAGTACTTACATCAAATTTCTGTCTAGAGGAACATTTCTTCTTCCCTTTTGGTTTGCCAGGCTTTGAAGCAGAGCTACTTTGCCATTGCGATGGCCCTGCGCCCTCTAGAGGACAGTAAAAGAACAACACAGAATGCATTAAAGAAACAACAATTGAGAAAGAGCATGTTCCTTCAGTTAAATTACAACAATTTCCAATATTGACATCCTCTAACTGGCTCTTGCCAGTTCACATGCAGTTCCAGAGAAAAATAAATGATTAAACAAATCTTACCTGGTGTGGAGACGATGATCTGGCAGCGTGTGAGAATGGCCAGGAGAAAATCATTGTGAACATGGACTGCAATGAAAAAGGAGGGAAAAACAAAACAAGCAACATTTGTTTTTCAGATAACATACTTTTTTCGAAATAAACAATATAAGTATTGGTTTTTGCTTAAATTTCTAACCATTTTCTTGTGCCAACAGACGACGTGCCTCAATGTCGAACTCCTCTTTGCTGATCTTTTGTTTGAACCAAAGCTTCAGGTTTGCCCAGTAACTGCACGGAGAGACACCAAACATCAATACAAGGCAAATCTTACACCAAACAAACAAACCTATGTTGGACATAAATTACCCTTCGTCTCATTATGTCTTCAAACGCTTAAACTTAAGAGCATCAACAGCAACTTACCTAATAAAAAATGAATGAAACAATTTGGCCTTTCCCCCACTTTCTCTCTATTTTCCCTGGTCACTTTAAGCTATTAACTCAAGCTGCACAACGAAAATATTTAAGCAAATCTATACACACGTTAAAATACATGTTGCTGATGAAATGTGTGGCGATAATAACAAAAATAACGTTATACTTGGCGGTTTGCGGTTTGTATCACTTCATCCTTGAAGCAAATAATTCTGAATAACTGCAAAAACATTATCTTATTGATGACTGCTGCTGAGAAGAAATGCTGCAAACATTAGCAAGTGCTAGCAAGCTGCTAATCTGCACATAGCTATCTAAATTACTTTGCATTTCAGCGGCAAATCAAGTACTGGGATAGAGCACTAACACCACAAAAACAAAACACACAGAAACAGCTTTCTGCTTACTGCTTGACATTATCGCCAATCGCATCGGTTAAATTTTTCTTTGCAATCTCAAGCTCGCTAGCATGAGCTGCCATGGCGATCATACAGGCTTAGAGGACGTCATCATCCGGCGACACCAAGTAATGTATCCCGTTTTTTGTCTATTAACTTTATTGTAGCAAGTAAGCTTTCTTTTCCAAGATGCAAAATATTACTTGACAGTGAATAGGCTACTACATGGCACTTTTTTGTTATCATTAACCTTACCTAACAATAAGAAAATTATACTTATATTTAATATAAATAGAATGATAGATCAACAATAGCTAGGGTACCTGATCATAATAATAATCTTTATTTGTAGAGCACTTTTCAAAAACAAGTTACAAAGTGCTTCAACAAGTGCAAAGACAACAATACAAGCAAGAAAACATAGAAAAGACCAAAATACACGTTTAAGATATATATAAAATAAGTAAAAAAGAATGAAGTAATTGGGATAAAATAAAGTCAAATAAGATCGGGAAAGGCTCTCCTATAAAAGTATGTTTTAAGAAGGGACTTAGAAGAGTTCACTGACTCAGCTGACCTGATTTCCTCGGCAGGTTGTTCCAGAGCCTCGGGGCCCTGACAGCAAACGCTCTGTCTCCTTTAGTTTCAGACAACAGACCTCTGCCCGAGGATCTCAAGGTACGTGCTGGTGCGTATGGGACTAAAAGCTCAGAAATATAACAAGGCGAGAGGCCATGAAGAGCTTTAAAAGTGATCAATAAAATTTTAAAGTCAATTCTAAAACATACTGGGAGCCAGTGTAATGAAGCTTAAATAGGGGTGATGTGGTCATATTTCTTTGTTCTGGTTAAAAGCCTGGCAGCTGAGTTCTGGACAGGCTGGAGTTGAGTTAAACAGATGAAAAGGCTGTTGCAATAATCCAGGCGTGATGAGATTAAGGCGTGTAAAATGGTCTCGGTGTCCTTAAAAGTTAACATAGATCGAATTTTTGCTATATTTCTAAGTTGATAAAAACATGATTGAACAAGCTTTGTGGTGTGCTGCTCGAAATTTAAATTACTATCAAACCAAACACCAAGGTTCTTTGCCACAGGCTTAATGTGATTTACTAGGGAACCAGCAGATGGCAGTATTTGTTTTGCCATCTGCTGGGACCCGATGACCAGGATTTCTGTTTTGTCTGAGTTCAGCTTGAGGAAATTATTTGACATCCATTTTTTAACTTCACAAAGGCAGTTGTTAAGTGAACTCAGCATTCCAGGGTCTGTGGATCTGTCGGGCAAGTATATTTGTGTGTCATCAGCATAAATATGAAAAGAAATGCCATGTTTATGGATAATATGTCCAAGGGGAAGCAGATACAAGGAAAACAAAATGGGTCCCAAGACCGACCCCTGAGGCACACCATATTTAACTGGACAGAACGAAGAGACATAGTTGTTTACAGACACGCAAAACTTCCTAGTTGGTAGGTAGGATGGCAGGATGAAAATCATTCTAAGGCAGTACCAGAGATCCCCACCCAGTGCCTCAGTCTGTCTAACATGATGTTGTGATCAATGGTGTCAAAAGCAGCGCTAAGGTCCAGGAGTACCAGGACTGAGCACATGCCTTCATCAACAGACATTAAAAGGTCATTGGTGACTTTAAGCAGGGCCGTCTCAGAGCTGTGGTACTTCCTAAAACCAGACTGAAACTTTTCAAATAATTTGTTATTTTCCAGTACAGTGAGCAGCTGTTTGGACACAATTCTTTCTAGAATCTTTGCAATAAAAGGCAGTTTTAAAATTGATCTAAAATTTTGTGGGAGGGAGGGATCTAAACCAGGTTTCTTTAAAAGTGGGTTCACGCAAGCCGTTTTAAAATAATCAGGGACACAACCAGTACATAGGGAGCTGTTAAAAACAGATCAAATGGGGCCCAACAGAATCTATTATTTTCAGTAAAAACTTTGTAGGTATTACATCAAGTGGGCTGGAGGACACTCTCATTTGTGATACTGTTTTTAAAAGCTCAGACAAGTCGATGGGATAAAACTGGTTAAAACTCTCTTGTTGCTGGTGAGGAACCTCTGAGTAAGAGGCAGTGGGGGTAATAGAGGCTCTGATTGACACCACCTTATTGGTAAAATAAGATAAAAACAATTCACAGTCATCATTACTTCCAGCTGAGGCACAAGGAGGGGTTGGGTTTACCAGCTGATCCACAGTCTTAAACAGAAACATGGCATTATGTTTATGTGTAGTAATGAGTTCAGAAAAATAGTGTGTTCTCGCATCCTTAACCATGTTATTGTAGTTAATTAATAAATCCTTCAGACTGAGGTAATGGACTTGGAGACTGGATTTTTTCCATCTGCACTCTGCTTTCTTGCATTCCCTTTTTAGGCTGCGAATGCTGTCATTTATCCAGGGTTGCTTACTAGCTTTAGACGTAGGCCTAACCTTTAGAGGAGCAGTAATATTTAGTGATAACAAGCAGATATGATTGAAGTGATCGACCAGATTGTTGGTGTTGGAATCAGACAGGTGTTGTTTCTGGATCTGAAAGAATGTGAAAAACTTTGAAACACTTTGTTCATTAAAGATGTGAGAACACACGGAGCTTGGTGAGGCGGCATGAGTAACAGGCGAATCGCAGCTAAAAACAATACATCTGTGGTCAGATATGGTCATGTCCACTAATTCCACGGAGGAAATGCTGACACCCAGGTTAAAAACCAAGTCCAGTTTATGACCACGGTTATGTGTTTGCCCTTTGACATGTTGTTTGAAGTTAAAAGAAGTGGCCATATTTAAAAAGTCAGTTGCATTAACATTGGTGGGGTCATCAACATGAATATTAAAATTGCCACAAAGAACAATTCTGTCATAATTTAAAACCAGAGTAAATAAAAATTCAGGAAGTTCTGATAAAAATCCTCCAGGCGGTTTTGGGGGGCGATAAATTATAACAAATGATAGGTTGCAGCCCTCCAACTTTAAGAGTGAGAACTTCAAAGGAGTTAAATTCATCACAGCGTACTTGATGACATTTAAAATGTCATTTATGTGAATGTAGATTTCCTACTTGTGAACTCGGAGAAAAAATATGTACCCTGACTTCACGAGTAGCAGCTGAATGATGTCACAAAACAATGGAAGCACGCACTGTAAATGGTAAACCATAAACTAAAAGGCAACAAAACGTATATATTTGCATGTATTAAAATAATACATATATGATCATATGGTAAAACCTGTTCTGCAACTACATTGATGTTAGGCCTTTTAGGTAGCTGGCTACAGTAAAGACTCTCATAAAGTCATCTTCTCTGCATAAAAGTTATTGTTAAAAATGCCAAAACATTAGGAGGTGTAATCTACAACATTGACTGACTTGAGGGTTACCAACTGATGTAGCTAGAGGGGTACATAGTTAACTAGTAATGTATAGGCTATTTATGTCAGTTGTTGCAGTTAAACTGCCATCCTTTGAAGTAACACCTAAAACACTGCTGAGGGTGCAACTGTGTGCACTTTGTCACGGTCAGCCATGGGTTTCGTTCACTTTTGGCCTCATGCACCACCATGCACCTGGAACGCTTTGAGGTCGGAAGTCAGAAGTTTCAACTGGGAAAAATCCCAGTTCTGACTGGTCTCGAATGCGGCATCAGTACTGTCTGTTTTACCTGTCTTGTCAGCTACAGCAGAGTGAGGACCAGGGTAATGTTAGGTAGTATATGTACTCCACCACTAGATGGTATCATAGTATGATTTAAATTCTTCAAGCCCCAATCCACTTAAACCTTGGTAAGGAAGAGCTGTGAAACACATATAACAATGGCAGTAGCCAGTCAAGTTCAATTCCCAGGCCCAACGGGCATGTGTGTGTTTTGCAAGCTACTCAGCATGTGTTTACTGGGCAGTATGGCTTGTTTTGTTGCTCATTATTTTTTAGATAGAGCATGTTTGGTTCCAAAATATGATACCATCTGATAGGCACCATGGGCTCACTGGAGCCTGAGCTGATGTGTATAAAGCATGGCTGCAGGGTCGTGCAAGTCTGATCCAAGAATTCCAAGAATGTCAGCAGAGACGTAAGAGTAAATCTAAAAGTTTAATTTGTTCCCCTTCCTAGGAATGTGTTATTAATGTTGACTTTTTAATGATCTTCCAACTTTCTACTGCCCAGTAAAGTTGATGCTATTTTCCCCAACTCCAGAAATAGTTTTAATGATATCAGTAACCTTCCTTTTAACACAAAGCCAGCTGCCAGAATCTGAGTATTTTTAATAAAATTGGAGAAAGCTGTTATTTAATAAAAAGTAGAAAATCCCATTTAAACCACTGAAGTTCCTGCCCCATTCAAAAGTCCCTCACATCTGCAGCTACTTTAGAAAACAGCAGCTAAAATTTTAACAACTGCCAAATGAGTATACTTCCTCTTATATAATTTAAATGTGGTAGTAGAGTTGCCAGTTAAATTTAGAACTGGTGGAAAAAATATACTAATCACATTTAAAGCACATCCAGCGTTTGGCTATAGCAGGACTTTAATGTAATTTTATCCCTTGGTTTGGGCTCAATTTAGTTAAATGTGATTTGTCTTCAAGCTAATCAATCAAACTGATGCTGATTTTTTTTGTTGTTTTATTTGTCGTATGTAGAATTTATTGTTAGCCGCTAACAGAAAAGGCCAGAATTTGTGCTACTGCTATTAGTCTTTTCTCAAGAGGTGGGGTGGTGATGGCAGTGGATAAGACACATACCTTTGGTGTAAGAGACCTGGGTTCAATTCCCCACTGTGATACATCCACCAATGTGTCCCCTTGTCCCCACTTAGTATTTGCTCCAGAAGCCTGCTACCTCAATATAGCAATTATATGTCACTTTGGATAAAAGCGTCAGCTAAATTAATAAATGTAATATTTAAATTCTCCACTGGAATGGATGTAAAACATTTCTGTTGTCCTTTATGGCTCTTTGGCTTATGTCTCTCTTGAACAGGTTTAGGCTGGGAGGCCCTTTTGTTTTTCACTGTTTCAACTATGGTGTAAAAACAGTTGAGTAGTCAGGGAGATCTCTCCTTTGGCTCCGTCTCTCCAGGCGGTCATGAAGCTTTAAACAGACCTCCATGACTCAGGCCATTCATCACAAAAAGGGAAATTGTATATCCAGAATACATACAGTTAATGGTCATACTGTAGACTATTAGTGCGTCCTCCGGTTCAGTGACTAATGCTGACTCCACAGTGTTCTGAGGTCATACTTCTTTACAGGAGATCCATTTGATAAGGGGTTTCAAGGTTTGAGTCTAGAATAAACACGCTTTTCATTCCAACCACATGAACAATGAAAACCATCTGAATTTTTGGTCACTAATAGATGTATTTCACAGACAACATTTCTGATAATAGGCAGCTGAAATCCAAGGAGCCCACTTCTCATGGCTCAAATGTTCCTGTGTTTGTTATATCTGGGTTGCGATCTGTGCTTAGATTGAGTTCTTTCTATCAAAAAAACCCTCATTAAAATAAATCTAGATTCCACCATCTCAGAACTCGCTTGTGTGCTTCAAAGCTAAGTGAAATATCAGTCTACTGTATATTTTAGACTAATAAGGGAGAGTGGAAACTGCAGCTGCTTGCAGCTCAGTGAGCCTTCCCAGGTCCCTCCAAATGATCATCCATCTTAAACAAGTGTCTGTTAAGCTTTAAATCAAAAGGGCACTTAGGAACGGACTTAGTTATGGAGTTGTTTAAATGTCCCAGTAAGGGCAAAAATTAGTCATGGTGCTTATTTTCAAAGAAAACAGCCCCACATCCTGTCTGTTGATTTGCTGGTTGACACTAACTGAGTTTTTGAGGGCTAATGAGTCACTCTCACGGACATTCCCCCAACAGCAGATGTCTTTCAGCAAACAGCAGTAGAGCCAGCTTCTTTCAGAAATCTTCCGAGCCTGGTGCCATTTTGGTGGTGAAATTCACAGACATCGATGCTTCACTCAGTGACAAAGAGGGCTTTCACCTCTGAAACCTGCAGCAGTTCTCAGAGGACCACACTGCAGCAGTGCTTGGCCATCCCCAGTCTGTTGGCCAGGTATTCGAGGCGGTAAAGGCCTGAGTGTGGTCCCCTTGCCAGAGCCAAGGATGTCACCTCCTCTGTTCCGACGTCTGACTGCACAGGAGTTTGGTTTTCGTGGTCTCATCATGCATTTCCATAGCCCCACGAGGCTATTTAAAATGTGAGGGTTCAGTGTGTGGTGGGCAGAGTTATTGGAAGACTGCAGTTACAGCTCCTGTGGTGACGGAGCATCTCACACTGGCAGTCTGTGGGGTTATTAGGCTTACCGTTGGAGAGACAGACTTGCGACAGGAAGGTGGCCCCTTTCACAAATCAGTGTTGGAAGTGTGCACAGATGGCTAGCTGTTTAATAAAACTCTTGGAAGAGAGTGTGTGAGTCTGCCCTTGACCTTTTCATCTGTGTACAGAAAAAGGATTGTCTGGGTTGAAGGGAGACATTCTCATAAAGGCCTATATACACTTATATTGTATTTGTGCTTTAATTAATAGTTTGACATTTTCGGAAATGCACTTATTTGCTTTCTTGCCGACAGTGAGTTGAAAAGATCAGGACCACTATCATTTCTGTACGCTAAATATTAAGTTAAAACCAGCAACTTGTTTATGGAGGACTGAAACTGCCAAAATAAAAAAATAACATGCCATTAAATGCACCAACAATAATATAAAAATAAATGTAGGCAATTCATTTATAAATGTGACATAAATTGATATTTCTGTTTTAATTTGCTTTTGTATTTATTTACTTTTATATTAATACCCTCTTTATTTACTTTATTTATTTACAGTCTATCTACCTGTCTCAGTGGCCACCGGTGTGTGAGCAAGGCATGAAAAGTGGATCCATGCAGTCTGATGTTGATCAACCAATAGGCAAAAAGTAGACCCCATGACGCATCTTAAATGAGCCCCCACCCTTGTTTGAATAATGAAGCTGAAATGTATATATAAATGTAAAAAGAAAACACAGAAATGAAAAAAGTTTGGGGAAATGGATAATGTCTATTTATTTTTGAAATTATTTTGGTTGCATTTACTGGCATATTTAATAATTTATTTTGGTTTATGTCCCTCATTCCAGTTAGCTTATGTTAGCATAAAGACTAAAAACAGGGGGAAACAGCTGACCTGGCTCTGTCCAATGTTTAAAAAATCCACCAACCATTACATCTAAAGCTAACTAATTAACACATTATAATTCATTTGTAAATGGTAAATGGTCTGTACTTGGATAGGCTACCCATAAAACCACAATTTGTCATTTTTACATTTTGTTTTCTATATGGACAAGATATATAAAGGTTAATTAAGGAACTTTAGAGGTGCTAGTAGGGTGATCTTTTAAACTTTGGACAGAGACAGGCTAGCTGGTTCTGGTTCCAGGCTTTATGCTAAAGCAAGTTAACCGTGAGTGATGTCAATCAATTGTCCAATTTTTCTCTTGGGAAGAAATAAAATAAGCACATTTCCCAAAATGTCAAACTATTCTTTAGGTATAAATCTAATCCTAGTGTATGCACATATTAGCATAGATAACTCTACTGGCTTTTGTGCTAAACTAAGCTAATTTGCTGCTGGCTGTAGCTTGATGTTTACAGTACAGACAGGAGAGTGATCTTCTCATCTAACTCAGAAAAAAGAGGGAAAAATGTCTATTCCTAAGTCTATTCCTTTAAAATAAAAAATAACACATACATGTACGACTATGAATGAAAGGATTACACTCAGGAAACAGAAGTTTGATGTTGTTGATGATGTGACAAATTTAAGGTATAAAGGTTTTCATTGTGCTTTGTTGGACAGTCAAACAAAAAGAATAGACAGTGTAGTTTAGGTTGTGAGCCAGACTTGAATTGATGACATGCCCTCACCTAGTCATCCACAGAAATGTGTCACCACTTGAAACAAGATGTCTCAGCGTATTGTTCATCTGTCTCCTCACAACTTTTGCCTACACAAAGTACACACAGCCCTGCACATTTGAGATAACTCTTATTGTTAAATGCAAGTATGCTTGATAATTAAAGTCGGGAAAACATCCCTTGGCATCCGTTAAGTAGTATAGTGTCTGTTTGAATTAGTCACAAAAACATTTCATCTGCATGACTCATGCCCACAAGATACATTTGAAACAAAAAAAATTAACAAGTCATGCACTAATTACGACTTGGTTAATAGTATAAATCAATGGGACATGAAAGAAGTTCCTTTGAATCTGAATGAACAAGACTGTCTCTTGATGTGACCTTAAATGTTCTTCATTTATTGACTGTTAGTTGTGTAACATTGTTCTGCCAAGTATTGTGACTCATTGGTTTCAGCTTTTATTGCTGTTTAATTTTAACATTATAATGCCGTTTTTATTAGATGCCACATTTTTTACATGTTCATAAAGATGTTTCCATGTCCAGCTGGGTTTGACCGTGTTTTGCTGCTTTATAAAAGTTTGTTAAAGAGATGGGTGTGAGGGTCATTGTGGTCAATACGAAAAACAACACAATATGAGAGTCTATTTTGGGTTCAGAGACCAGAGACTTTTGGATGCAGTGCTGTTCAAAGCAAAGCAAACCCACCACTTCAAAACCCCCGGCTCCCCTTTCCTCTGGGATAGTTTCCCCAAAAGGATGCCGCTTTCCTTCCATACCGGTGATTACAGAGTGCAGGCACCCATGACTTTGTCAATGAAAGATATTTTTCGAAAACATACCATTCAAGCACTTTAGTGTGGAAAGAATGTAAATTTTTCTGTTTTTAAAAAGGACAGGGGGGATAACTTGGAAATTTGGATTGAATCCATCCCAGTTCATCCCCTCCTCTCCCTCCTCCCTCCTCTCTTTTTCTTTCTCCATCCTGTCTGGTTTTTGGCAATGTGTTTCTCGTTGCCTAGAACTCTCAACGCTTGGTCGGCATATTTTTCGTGCTCGAAAACCACTCAAAACAGGACGTAATTCTTTTTTTCCCCCTCCGTAAAATGCTTGTTTTTCCAAGTCATACTGAAATTTAATCAACAGCCAAATGACAAAAACATATAACAGCAATTTCCATACGTGCAAGCACACTTTAAGAATGATTGTCATATATACAGTGGAGGATATTAGTTCTATTTTCTGTAGGATTATTTCCTGTTCCATCAGGACACCTGGCCCTTTTCACTGTTATGATAAGTTAATTGTACACATAAATTATCGTTTCTGTTCATCTGCACTTGGGCAAAGTAGTTGAACATATAGTTTAAAGGTAATCTTAAGTGTATGGAGAAAAATTAAAATCTGTACTGTTTGTTTTGTGTAGTCAAGTGTACATAAAACATGTATTTAAATCACCTTCCTTTCTCCACCTCCTTAAGGTGTTGGTCTTTTCAGATGTGCAAGTGGTGCAGAGTCTGAATAAATTTGTACAGGTTTTAACAAAATGTATTTTCCAGCTCCCAGCAACTATAGCACAAGTTAAATACCATATATGAATGTTTCCCCCACACGTTTATCTTGGCGAGGTAGGAAGAGCTGCATTTAGATCCTGTGACTCTAAAGCTTATGAATGAAATCAATACCAGTGAAGTTAGGATGTGGCGCCTCCTCTCCATGAGGTGACCTAGTAATGAGGAAAACACTGTGGTCTCTTAATCAGACAGACAATTATTCTTAATTTAGCTTCACCATCATATGTATTTGTGTCTGTATGGCTTACTATAAATAGTAATATCCCCTATATCTCTCTGTGTGCATCTAACATGATACAAAGTGAACAATGTTCACGCAGAGTCCATGTCTGTTATGGGAGGCAGTTCAAGTCACTATTGATGGTTTTTAATCTCCATTGGTGTCATTCTTTTATCTAGAATCAACCAGTTTCTGATGACATGCATAGTCACAATATAGAATGAGATTCAAGTTTGCCCTGGTGTTTGTAGCTACCCCTGGACCAGCCCAGCTTACAGTAGCTCCTCAGTCTATGGGCCTGATCATCATACGGACCGACTTCATGGAGTAGAAGCCTCCGCCATAGTCGGCCCAGAAGATACCATCCTGGAATTTGCTCCGGTAGACGCCTCCGGTGTACCAGACACCGTTAAGATTGGCTTGGCCACAAGCGTTGTACCACCAGCCTCCTTTATGGAAATGGGCACAGTTACCTGTTGTGGGAAAGGGGTGATGATTAGTTCTGTGAGGAAGTGTATTTTTTATAGAGATAATAATTTTAAAAAACACATTGGACTTAGAATTTTTCAAGAAAATCATTGCTTTCTGTTGTGCCTCTGCCTCTGATTTCCTACATAGACGTGGTCAGACTTTTGGTAACTGTGGAGCCTCCAAGAGAAATTTGCCATTTTCATTATGTTAAAATATTTTATACGTAAGGCCCTTGCCTTCAAGTGTCTGGCACAAAGTCATACACATTTTTGGAGAAAGTTGTAAGTTGCTGAATTTCACAGTGTTTGCAAGCCAAGAGCTACTGACATGCTCACAGCGATACACAGAAAAGGATCATCATCCCAATCTATTGTCAATGGGATGCAAGGGAATTGCTTCATAAGGCATTGTGGGATTCTCGTCAACATGGAACTGATGCTCGTTCAATTGGTCTTCACTTGATGGTCAATCTAATATGCACTAGTTCGAGAAAACCCCATTTCAAGAATGTGTTATATTTCTTTATTAGACTACCTTAAATAAAATTACCTACCTTAAATAAATATAAAATTTAACTTTACTGTATATCAGTTTTGCTATAGAGGATGTGAAAACTTTAAAGCTTTATATCTCAAAAACAGGTAGAACCCTATAATTCTGAGGTCTCAATATTTTAAAAGATGCTTTGAATTTCAATAAAATATCATGATGCACTTATACAGGACTATATGCTACACGAGCACATGTTCATCTACCTGAGAAGGCATCCTTATCTCGATCCAGGGTAGTGAACTGTTTGCCGTTGTGACTGCTCAGGGAGTCCCCAGCGTTGCCCTGGTAGGTGCCCAAGCGCAGGCGGAAACCCTCGCTCTCAGGCTCTAGATGGAAGCTGCTGTACTGAGCGTAGACCTTTTTGTTCATCCAGTCCTCCAGCTCCACCAGCAGCTTGTAGTCCCCCTGCCTCCCCAGGTTGTAGATGCCTTCCAGACCAAGCCAATGTTCTCCATCTATGTTGCCAAAGCCGCTCTGAGTCAAAAGAAGATTAAAAGGAACTTTAGAGAAAGATTACAGATAATAATGGGCATTGTTTTTTATGTGGTAGCCAGAGGAGTTTAGAAACATGAGAATTGTTTAGGAACATAAAACCTCGTTGTGGATGAGGCTGCAGGATTGTAACAGAACAAACGAGAATTTTCTTTTTGATGACGTTTTGGTCATGGTTCTGTAGTTAAGACAAACTACAAAACTTCAAAAGAAGAAAGAACTGTGGCAAAACAATGCCACCCTATCTTTGAAGTTCCTAAGAAAGACATGTTGTAGAGTTTAAGCAAGAAAACAAGCATGCATCTACAGAATGCTGGTTCATCACTCAAACCCTGCAGATCTCTTGGATCACGGCTAATAGCGAAACTGGCCACTTGTGTTGAATAACCGCGAGCAATCTACGTCTGGCCATGTGCCTCCAGAACACTTCACTTGGTAGAGGAGTTTGAGGTCTGTGATTGTGGATTGGCTGGGTGAGCCAGCAGATGATGAATGATGTAGGGTTTCAGTTCGGGGCCTCCTCTCTGGTGCTGTGTGTGTGTACATGTGGTGGCTTTGTGGGAGAGCGCAGAGGCAAATCAATGTTGAAGAGAGCAATTTAGCTTCTAGTAAGACATGCACAAACCTGGCCGGGCAGAATGGAACACTGGATCACCGAGGCTGCCAGCAGCGATGTACGCTATCGCATTCTCACACACCATATTAGCTCCCCTCTCTTTGATGAGGGGGGCTATATGGTGTGGTGTAGTAAGCCAACCAGCCATTCATCCAGGAAGGCAGCATAGTAGAAGCGGTTTTGGAAAGAAGCGCCTGCGGATTGAGCTGTGGAACATACCTTCCTAGTGGGCCATCTAATGTTTCATAATAGGAATCTCAAACCAAATGACCTTGGATGAATAGTGCTGCTGACAGGGCATTATATTTTACAGTAAGTGAAAACACAAGGATTCTGGCCCAGGAAATACTCCCAAAGACCCCATGATGGTTTCTCTAGATGGGTCATATAACGGCACCCCTGCAGTGTCTGGATGAATATTCTTGTTGGCTCAAGGGAGGAGAGAGAAAAATAAGACAGACATGGCAGGGGAAGTGTCATTGTCATCACCTTGTAGTTATCCCAGTTCCTAAAGAAGTTCACGGATCCGTCTCTCCTGCTCTGGATCACGGTCCAGCCCCCGTTGTCTATATCCTGTTCACACCAGGCCTGCACTGGCCTCTCTGCTTCGTCTGGTTTGATCAGGTACATGCCGCTGATGCTATGGCCAGCTTCCTGCGCCTCGAGACAGTCTCTAAACGGGCCTGAAGGAAAGAACAATAAGAGAGGGAGGGTGGTGGTAATAAAGACAGGAATAAGCTGGAAATGAGACAAAGTGTGTAACAAAGTGTGTAACGCTTAATAAGTAACATTATCAAATGTGTTTTTTAAGAATAATTACACCAACCTTCACCCCCATCTAGGCTTGTTAGCTTTTAGCAGAAATACTTTATCTGGTGTTACTCCTCCTCCATTATGATAAGATTTAGTGCCTTTTTTATGTGTTATAACAATCTCAATTACAAAAATGTTGTTGCATTACAATTGATTATACAGTTACAGAAAACAGGTCATAAAAAGTTGGGAAATTAACTTTAGCTATGGCTAGCTGTGACTGCCCTCAGGCTAGCCTAGCTAGGGTGCAGTCACTGCTGTTTGGTTTTTACCTCAATAATTACACATTTTCATGGTATAAAAAAGGTTTTTGGTTAAACATGCTCTGTAAAAAAGACTAGTCTTAACTCAGATTTGAATGCGTATGTAGTCACTAAATGTGGTAATATAAAACACATTTATCCAGGTCCGCAAAGATGTTTACTATGTACTCCCACAACAGCAGAGGAAAATGAGGCAAATTAAGTTACTTTAATTAGAAATTACTTGCATTCATTTGAGGTCAAGAGACTAACATCTGCCTTTTCTCAAGGTAATTCAACATTCTCATTACGAGATTTTTAATTAATTGCACATGTAGCAGTGAGTTTATTTTAAGGTTGAGTAACCCTCTCCTGGCTATTAATATAATAATAATAATAATGTAAAGGTATAGCCCATTCACTTCATAAAGTATACCAGAAGTGCCTCTAGTTTGTGGTTTGCAGGAGTCTATCAGGCCAGCCTGGGTTTTGTCTACGTCTCACATGCAATGGAACAGTCTTGTAAAGGATCGTTTACATACACAGCTGCACTGAAATCCTACACACTTTATTATTCTTGGGTGAGGGCAACCTAATGTGTCAGGAATTTCTGTTGATGAGCGACATCGCATTGGTTAGGTCTTTCTTTGCTTTGCTTTAAGTCCCCTGCCTCCACTGAGACGTTACAACATTTTAATTTCCATCCTGGTTTGTGTTCTTTCTGTTGAACGGGGAGCAGAGTTCCAGCTGAATTTGCAAAACTTTAACCTTTGAAATGAGGGCACTGGCCCAGCTGTATTCAAAAGTCAGTGATTATTATTTTGTTATGGTTGCCTGCAAAATCATGACTACTATACATTTTACTATGACTGTTTTTGATTGTCATGACTGAATCAATTAATAAATGAATGAAAAGATGGATGAATGGATGGATGGATCACTCACTAATTAATTCTCTCACTCACCTTCAGCACTGAAGTTTCTCTGTGGAGGTTTCTGAACTTCCAGGGTGCCACTTGTGGGTGACGGCCCAGAGCGAGAGCCTCTTTCTCTTGGAAACCCTCGGGTGTTGTCCCTTTGGATCTCATTGGTGAAACGTGGCACATTAACAGGAATGTTCTCAGGCACCACCTGCACAAGTGGAGGTCCCAGGGGTGACTGCTCATGCCTGCGGCTGTACACCTGCATACAACGTTCCTCCAGTGCCCCAATCAGCACTGACTGGTTGTTCACTACTGCAGACAGAGCTGCGTATTTGGCCTCCAGTTCCCTGTACCTGGAGGTCAAGCGGAGTGACTCTGAGGTGGCATTGAGGATGCGTGTCTCCAGCTGTGCCAGCTCCAGTGAGTTGTCCCTCTTCCTGATGATCTCATGCAGAAGCTGCATGTAGAGCTGGGTCACTCTGGAGTTCATGTTCCTGCTCTCTTTCCTCAACAGCTTCATCTCATTCACCAAATTGCCGTCCACATCCACCACAAGCTTCAAAGTCTCCACCTCTCGACGCTGCTTTGACAGGAGGTCACGCACCGCAGCTACATCCAGACGTGTCACTCGGTCCTTGTCAGTTGAATAACCGCGGGCGGCACAGATGGGTCCTGTGATCTTCTGCTCAGGGACCAGGAAGGTGTAGGAGCACTTCTTGCCTTCTCCGGTGGCCTCTGGAGCCCTTCGTATCCGGGAGAAGATTGGGTTCTTAGTGAGGGCTTGGCTGTTGCTCCAGAAAGACAGACCAAGCAGAATAAATAGGCTCCATGTTCCGGGTCCCATGGTTCCTCCACTCTTTATCACCAAACAAGCTAAAGATCTATAAAAAGGAATGAGAAGTGTAGACCGACCATTTTATTTAAAGCAAAGGTTGGTGTTATACTATATTACATGTATTGTCAATAAATCCCATAAAAAGACCAAAAACAATAAAATATTACTCCATCCGGTGAAGGTTAAAGTCAAGGGCAACTGGACACCAAGTCCAGTTGCCCTTGACTTTAACCTTCATTGGATAACTGTGACCTGGATGACTGAGAATCTTCACAGACATATATTACTCCATCTCTCACTGCTTTTCAACTTCCCTACCCTGCCTTTGGTGGTTCAATGGTTCCTACCGAAGATCTAGGGTTGGCACTGTCACTCTGTGGGGCAGTTGGTACACTACTTGGTACAGAGTAAAATATCTCAACAACAACTGGAAGGACTGCCATGACTTTCATGGTTCCCAGGGGATGACTGCTAATCACTCCGGTGATCCCTCACTTTTCATATGGCTCCATCATCAGGTCAGCATTTTAATTTGTCCAAAATTTTAGTTTATAACTAAATACTTGCACAACTAATGATATTCAGCCCGGGTGTACTTTGTGTTTTGTATTAATTAACAAATGTTACCATGCAAAACTATGATTATGGACATGGCAAACGTCAGCATGTTGCCATTGGGAGCATGTTAGCATGCTGATGCTAGTATTGGGCTCAAAGCACTGCAGTCCAGCCTCACAGTCACTAGCATGGCTGCACACTCTTAGTATAGTTAAATTAAGCACAGTAATTTCCTGAAACAGCTGGGCACTGTAATCTTTAGCAAAAGTTACTTAAAGAGAAGTAAGTTATGCATTTGTTGAGGACTATTTTCAACCACAGATTACTATTACTATTAATTTGGTGGGTTAGGGGAATTGACAGCCCACGAATGGATTTTTCTCAAAATAAACTACAGTGCCCAAGGTCATCATAACAAAGGAAGATGTCACCCAGCGCAATAGTATGGCTCAATGTTGGGTTTTTATTAGTTTTTGTATGGTGAAGGTCTATTTTATGGCTCAGACGATTATGCCATATCAAGCTTTGGCTACACAGACAGTACTTGTCAGAAGGATTAATTCATTGTTGGCTGTGGTCTTTTCATTGGCCTTGTTGACAATAAGAAAATATTGAATATTACCCCACTGAGTCTTTAATTTGGTCCAAGTCTCTATAAAGAAGTTTCATTTTATACTTCTTATTCAGTTTCCTACCAGATGTTTTCTTTTCTACTCTAATCCAATATAACCACTGTGCTTGAACATTTTAAGCAGTCATGGAGCTTTTGCTGGTATGATACAGGAGAAAGCTTCTAGTCAAGACTCAACACAAGAGTCTTGCTTTATTATGAAGTAAGTGAGCATGAAAATGGAAACTGTGAAAACTAGCAGACTGTGGCAAAGACACAGCTGGTTTGACACATCAAGTACTGCAGACAGTTCTGCCCTTGGCAAGATGTGTCTTCTGGTACTCTTCTGGTGGAGTAAGAGCAGTGCCACCCACCCACCACAAATCTATTATCCTAGCTTATGTTTTCAATACATTCCCTCATGGGTTCTCCTTCATTACGGCCCTTACCACATCTGTATCATGTGTCTGGGTGTGTGCAAGTACTGGGATCTGTTTTTCATATTTCTGTAGATCTCCTGGCTCAGACCTTCCGTGCACCTCCGCTATAGCTTTTAAGCGTACCTGCACTGGCTCGTGTGGAGAGTTAACTTCTGAATCTGACAAAAGCATGAAATAGTTGGCAGAAAATTTGTTTAATGTGGCCATGGATGAAAGTGAATCACTGAAGTGTTAGATGGTGCATATTAGTTATGAGCAAAAGCAGGTGGTTATCATTAGGCCTCACTGACTCATTTTAACTTCTGCCTTTTCTGCCTGGCTGGTACAAACAGATACATTTGAATTTGGTGAGGAATAAAAGAAACTGATGTTTTTGAGAGGCAGCAGGGAGCAGGAATCCCTGATTTGTGAGTAATGTTTTCTGGAGTCTATTTTTGGAAGGGAAGCTTATGTTTTGATCTTATTGGTTTTGACAGCACAACGAATGGAGCAGGGGTAGGTGAGGTTCAAAAATGAATGCTAAGTGAAAGAACCCTCCTTCCATATTCAATAGCGAGGCTTGGATCTGGAAGTGGGGCTAATGGTGTGCCAAGTTCAGGCTTTTTTCAGATTTTGGCACTCGGGCCAAATCCAACCAGAAGGCAGTCTGGTGGATATGGCCAAGGAGGGTAAGTAACCTTCATCCAACACTTTAGACAGCCACACAGTATGACCCACTTCATATCAGCGCTCATCAAAACAACTCTGCAGAGGATTTTAACAGATGCCAAAGGAGCTGAATGCTAAATGAGTCCAAGACACAGACAGCAGAATCTTTGAATCATTTCTGTGGTCTCCTCTTGATGCTTAGTTGCAGTGAAGAGTCTTAACCACAGTTAATGGGACAGATCCCAGAGCATTACCTAAGCTCAAACTGCTGCTGTAGCAGAATAGTGCCCTTTTATCATTGTCAAAGGAAAAAAACATGCTTGTCTCAAGGGAAATATATGATATCAAGTGTTTGTGTTTTCATGAAGCACAATGGCTTATTGACAGAAAGAAAGTGTCTTAGCCAACATTAATTTTTAATAAATTGCTTAAAAGTTCAGCAGCACAAGAAAACGCCCGAAGCCTGTATTTTAGCTTTAACATAGGAACAAGCTGCAGTTTGTTTTGTCATAGATTATAACTCATTTGAGGGCAAAGGAAAAGGCACTTTAAGGGAAACGGGCCATATGTCAGAGCTCAGAAACACCTTGGCACTGTCAGGCAGTTATTATTACCAGAGAGGACTTTTTCCTGTCTTTCCGTAATCACAGGTCATCCCCTTCAATAGCTCGGTCTCAGCAATTGGCCCGTCTGCAAGTCTCCAGCCCCACAATATGAATCTCACAGGCTCTGGCCTGACAGAAGTGACAGTGTTTACACAGAGGCTCCTCAGCCAGGGCTGTGAATCTCATCTGCCAGTTATTACCACCAGGTTTCTCTCTGTCGTTCACACCCTGCTGGTCTTCATCAAGTCAACCACAGCAGCCATGTTTTTTTGTTGACTTATTAAACGGGTATTTTCTCCTCTCCTCGCTCAGAGCCAGACCTGACCAGATCCAGCCACCTCATCTATATTAATGCAGTCCTTTCAACCAGACAGGTCAAACTTTGCGGTGGCTGGTTTTTCCCAGCTCAGAGCAACATGAGGACCCTGCCAATCGGCCCACTGACTCTAAGTGGTGCCACTGAGCTCTAACTGTCTAATGGTAAGCTCCCCAATTAAAAGATTTTCTTTGACATTTAAACCATCAGAAAGCTTATCCCTGGGAATACCGCCTTTGCGTGCCCCTAATTGCTCTCCAACTTTATTTCAACACACAACATGAATATATTACAAATCAGAAATTCCCATTTTTCCAGGCAAACTTTGTTGTGGCTTTAGCTCTGGGCAAGCAGATTGTGCCAATTAGCCCACAGTTATTATGATGGTGCCACTGCTTAGGTCTGTCTGCTGAGATGATGCATGAGCTTTGTACATGGTGAATATGATTGTGGGTTTATACTATATGTACATTTCAAATATTACATATTAAACAAATATTAACTACTTTAAAATGTTCAAATGGTTTTTCCATAGCAATTTATGAAGAGTCACAGATGTCTGGAGGACCCCACTGTCATCTAAAATGTTGATCTGACTGTATTGTTCTATATTACATTTACTTTAATCAGTAAATTGCATTTTATTATTCATAGTGATGACTGAAAATTTATACTTTCCAAATCATAAAAAAAGATTTTATATACAAATAAATAACCTGATCATAGAAATGAGAAAATAAATATCTTACCTGTGTCAGGGAGTCAGTGGTCCAGGAGGTGCGGGTAAGACCCAGCTTGGTGTCTCAGTCGTGTTTCCTATCCAGGTTTATGCTCTCCATTCTCCTCCTCTCACTCTCAGTCACCCTCTGTCTTTGCTCTCATTGAGAATGAAGGCCTGCACACAGCTATGGCAAAGGAAACACTGTCCACTAGGAGAACAGTAGAGGGTGCATTTACAGAAAGAGGGAGGCTGATGGTGTGATTTTCTCTGTAGTTTGAGCAGGGGGAAGGCTTGGCCCTGCCTTCCTCCTCTAAAGTTTAGGAAGAAAAGAAAGACTCCTCCTAATATAAGGTTTCACCACTAATGAAAAACTAAGCGGTGAATCAAGTTGGCTGGGAGTCAACAAGAGTGGTGAAGACACTCAAAATTAGTCTAGCTGTCATCAAGGCCTTGTTTACAACATTATGTTGTCTCCCACACGCTATTTATCTTGTAAAAGTTGATGACATCGACATAAACTCTCTTTTTTTCTTTCACACACACACACACACACACATCTATCAGCTTGATTCATTTTACTTCTATTTCTCATACTCTACTTACTCCTCCTCACAAAGCTGTTTCCTATCAGCTCTAACCTAATGACTGGGTAATTCTGTCGATCCAGTAGCTTTTGCACAAGTATGTTTTGGATGTGAGTGTTTCTCTTGTGTTTGCCCCGTATTTGGGATGTGTGTGTCTCTTGCAGCAATCATAAGAGCTATTGGCAGCTGTGTTTATTTGGTTATGAGGACAATATGCAGAGGGCTTTGCAGACAAAAAGAACGCCCCTCAGCTAAATGTTTTGGATTAAGGAGGAAGGACAGGCTTTGATGCATGGGGATTCTCTGTGTGGGGAGACATACTTAAGCATGGGGGAGGACAGATTTTCTTATGAGCAATCAAGGCAGGACATTCATAATGTAGCAGCGTGTGTGTGTGGGTGCTTGCATGTGATCTGTACATGTATGAGAACATATGTTTGTGTATTTGTGATCAAGAGCGTGTCTCCTAAATGGTTGGTTGTGTATAATAGAGGTTGTCCAATTTAAACAAATTATATATAGAAGAAAATGTGTTTGGAGGTACTGAAAGAAACTAAGAAACACATTTTGTGCTAATTCAATCCATGCCTGGAAAATCTTTATCTGTATTTGCACCACATTTAATAAGCTCCACTCTTGTATAGCCTAGATCAGTGTTTCCCAACCTGGGGGTGAGCCCACCTAAAGGATCCCAAGATAAATCTGATTCAGACTTTATTTTAACAATTTGATGTTTCATTTTCTAAATTCTGATAAATGTGTTGTAAAGGTGTTTTTCTTGTGGGATACATTCACTTCTTTAACCAGCTAAAAATTAAACAATTTGAACAGGAAAAAACATTTTAACTGCTTATAATTCATGCAAGGATAAGGGACAAGTGTGTCTATTTTTAAACCTTTATTTAAACTGGACTTTTCCATGCTTCATTTGTGCCCTAATGAGATGATGATCATAATACTTTATTGCAAAACAAGTCTGATTTTGTTGTTGCATCACAGCAGCAGCATTTGCAACCTCACATTATGTGTTTGGTAACAAATTACATGTAGCTGTAATCTGTTATGGAGAAAAAAATGTGTAATGAAATAACAGTTACTTGTGAAAATGTCCATGATTACATTGGCTACTTTCTGTAAAAAACTAGGCTCTATAATATTAATTTTGTTGTTTTGCATGTTTTTTATGTGCAGAATGTCTTCCTTTGCCATTTCCAGCCATAGCTGTTTAGTAAAGTTTGATGCTGATCAGATGCGTTTGATTGGTTCTAGTATTTGAATTTTCAGTGCCTCCTGCCAGTTAAATTCCCTCTTAAGCTGTCTTTTGAAAATGGTTATCAGTTGAAAACAGTCAGTAGTCTAATCAAAAAGTAATTGAATGTAATAAGTTACATTACTTTGATAAAGTAATTGAAATAGTTACACTACTATTAGGGTAACTTGTCACAGCCAACCTATTACATTTCAAAGTAACCTAACACTGTCAGCAAGGCAAGGTCCTTCTCCACAAATGTACATTTTAGCTCTTGCCCTTAGAAAGTCTGTTTACATCACTGCTGACAGCAATTTATACAGAAATGCAGTTTGGCCTTTGTATTTGGTGATTAGTTGTTCACTATAACTAACATCAGCTGTCATGCAAGGTTAAAAATTGAAATCCAGCTCTCTCTGTGAGTGTGAGCCCCTCCTTGTGGCAAAATGAGTTTATTACCACCAATACCTTCACAGTTGTAGATAGATAGATAGATAGATAGATAGATAGATAGATAGATAGATAGAGTTAAACGTCTAATACATAGGGATTAAAACTTTATTTGCATGAATGAACAAGCTACATACCTTCAAACAAGCCTTCGGTTACGTCATGCGCACTGACCAATCAGAGGCAGTGTGCCTGTGACAGTTGATACTCGACTGTCAGCAACAAGGACTTTAATCAAAACAGAAGATTTCATAACTTTTCTTTGATTTACAGGGAAGAAACTGATTTAAAAAAAGACTTCTTTTAATTTAAGAATTTGCTGAACAACGTGGTACCGTCGTTTTGTTTTTGTCATTTTCCTGTCGACTTTTCAAGCATGGTGAGTTTGACCCCCGTCCCTTTCTATATAAATTGTTGCCAGTGTTTTATTTTGGTGAGCGTCGTGCCAATGACAGACTTCGCTTAGCCTACACACCCCACTGTATGACACAATTGCTTTTGTCCACTGTATACTACAGAGACCGGTTGGATTAGGTGATTTAAACAGGCTTTACTTGTGTGCCTTGCCTCGTCTGCTGCGGATAAAATTAGACTCCTTCAGCGTTAAAGATCCTGTGTCACTGTGGATCTGTTTAGCCCCTGAAGTTGAAGCCTGAGAGACAACTGTCAGGGCATTTAAGTGCTTTACAAATGTATTTCATGTGAACAAACAAACAAAGACCTCTGAGACATGTTGAGAGTGTCAATGCACACATCCTGTGCAATACAGATTCATTAATAACTGCCTAATAATAATTGCTTTACAAAAAAATGTTATCATTATTTTATGTTGAAAGGGCTCGTTTCACTCCAATTGATTTTTAATCTATATAGTGTAATATTTCTTATGTTATTTGGGTATACCTACACTATTAAACAGCAGAATACCCCTTGTGATTACCTGTTAATGTGTTACAGGATGCAGAGGGCCCCCAGGCCCTGGGTGACCTCTGCTTGGCTCAGGTGTGCCACAGCCTGAACGCTCTGTGCAGCAGGCGAGCAGACGGCTCCATGTGCCTCAGCTGGGCCCCGCTCTTCCCACAGGAGGTGGCTGACCAGCTGCTGTCTAAGATGGCAACTAAAGGTAGGTCAGGGTGACAGCAAAGACTCCCAACAACATCAGTATCAACAAGTGAGGGCAACTGCAGTGCCAAGTTCTGAGAAAAGGGGCCAATTAACTCACACCACAACAAATGTGACGTATGACCTTAGGTTAGTTGTAATCCTTCAAGCACACAACTTCCTGTATACAAAAGTTAACTGCTATGTCAGAATATCATTATGCTTACCCTATAATCATATGTCTTGTTCACAGTGATACCAGGCTGAAATTATGGGAAAAGTCTATTCCACACATAAATATGGCTAAACTGATGCAACTTTTTCCCCTCTGTTTGCTTCTCCTTGTAAGGCATACTGAATGACACAACTGTTGGGATTTTCCGAAACTGCAAGGAACTCCGCCTGCGCCGTGCCTCCATCCGCTGCTGTCCAGTGTCAGCAGAAGCTTTTCGCTTGGCCCTTTGCCCTCACCGGCTCCAGGAACTTGATGCCTCCTGCATTTCGGGGGGCCTCACTGGAGCTAACATTATCTCAAGTCTGGCCTCCAACCCTGAGTGCAGATCCAGCCTGCAGAGGTTATCCCTCAATGGGCTATGTCTGGACTGTGAGTCTCTGGGGGAGGCTGGAGGGACCCGTGTTGGCTTCAGCTCCCTGCAGGGCTTGAGGACACTCAACCTTGCCAACACAGACCTGACTGATACTGTCCTTGAGGATATCTGCACTCTCCCTCTGCTGGAGAGCCTGGATATCTCCTGCAGTACCGTCTCAAAGCTCACTGCACTCCTTGACTGCAAGAACACCCTTAGATCTCTGATCACCCATCGGCTGCGGCAGCTGGATATGTCGTCTGCCAGATTGCTCTTTGTCCTTAGCCAGCTTCAAGCTCTCAGGCATCTAGATTTTTCAGATGACCATTTTACTGTGGATGACAGTAACGGGAGAGATGGGGATGAGACAGTCCGGCAGCTTCTGGAGGGGAGTCCCCAGGTCCTCCCTTCCCTCGTTTCTCTAGATATCTCTGGACGGAAGACAATCACTGATGCAGCAGTCAGAGCGTTTGTGGATGCCAGAGGTGGACTGGTCTTCCTGGGCCTGCTGGCCACTGGGGCTAGCTCCTGTGATGCCCTGTCTTCAAAGAAAAGCCTAAAAGTAAGGACCTAATGCAAGCATCAGGTACAGAGTTGATGTCACACGATGGTTTGTGACATGTCAGAAGAATGTTACGGATAGACACATGAGCTTGACTCTCGCATAAGTTTCTAATTTGTGCTTGACTTGAGGCCCTGTTTGTATATGTACTGAATATGACCCGCTGCATTTCCTGTCTCTTTGACTGTGCCAATCTGTTGTGTATATTTAGGTAACTGGAGAGGCTAATGAGAACCAGGTGTGCGAGGCCCTGAGAAGGTACAGAGACCGTGAGTGTTTCATACGAGAGGCTCTCGTCCATCTCTACAATCTAGTCACTGACACTGACAAACCACGACCAGATATGCTAAAGGTACTGTGGTTAGCATTGTGTTTGAACAATATCTTACAATAAAAATGTCAACACAGGTCTTATTTTTGTTATTTCTGACTGCAATCATTTCTATTGGTTTTAATTATATTGTACTCATAAAAGTTATTAGTTCTGGAATGCTAAAAGTAAAAATTAGTAAAGTTTTATAATGGATTATCTAACCCACTTTATTTTAAGCTAAAACTGAAGGCGAGCACACCTAAAATTTCACCAATGATCCCTCATTGCATAGAAAAAATGGGAGTGCAAAAAAATAAACCTATTAGAATGGACAGTTTGGGTAATCAATTTACTGTTCACCTTCATTTTTATTTTCCAAGTAAGTTTGGTTAACCTGGGGGATTGTTAAAAAG